TAAAGAAAATAGTAAAAATACTTTAGAGCATGGAAAGGATGGATATCTATAGACAGCTTAAATACATACAAAGCTCATAGCTGTATGCAAAGCAGTGAATGTTATCCTGGTCCCCCTCCCCCCAAGCAATGGAAGCTGAATATATTTGGGCAAAGCATCAGTGTCAGTGCAATGCATGTGGAAGGAAAGGGCACAGAGCCCTGGAAATGCAGGTGGGAAGGGAGCTAGCATTACACTTCCCATCACTGAGGAGCACAAGGTGTAGAGATTTAGCCAGTTCAGCTCGCCTATCTTTAAAAATTAGCTGCATCACCAGATGAAGAGTCATGGATTGCTGCCCCTTCTGACAAAAGAAACAGGAGTTATGCACAGCAGGGGTGATTTTTATTTGTAAGGGTGCCCTAAATTATGATTAATTCCCAAACCTGGCCAGCAGGCAGAATAATTTCCAGAATTCTGGTTAACAAGGAATGTTTTGTGGGATTTTAGCAGATACTCTCCTGTGCCCCCTGCCCAGTCCCCCTTGCTCCATGCCACAGATATCCTAGACAGTTTCCTTGGAATTTGGCACCTGAAGAACCGCTTCTGACTTGGTGGCATTTGGAAGGACTGGAATTGAGTGTTTCAGCAACAGCTGTGAGATCAAGTGACTCAAGGAAGGTGCAAAGATGATTGGACTCGATGCTCTTGCCTTTGAAAGGCAGTACAAATCTGCACAAGTTCATGGCATTACTGTGCTTCCCAGCAGTGGTCACACCTCAGGAGGGAAGAGTCCACCCTCAGCACTGGTGAGAGCTCCTGCCCTGGAGATGGCACCTGGGAGGTCTCCCAGCAGCCTGGACAGTAAATAACTTGGTGCATGGAAAGGGCCTCACTTCACTTATTTGGATGTGTCCCCCCCACATCTCCTTTGCTCTGAGTTTCTCCAAGGAAAAGGAGACAGAGGGCAAACCACTGGCAGGACTGCTTCCCTGCCTGCTGTGAGGAAGGTGATGGTGAAGCTGGCATGGGCTTTCCCAAGGGATATACCTGAGCCAACAGAAGCCACTTCTCTTGTCCTGCCACTCAACCCATCTGCAGTGGGACTGTAGTCAGATTCATACCTGCTCCGGTCTAAAAATGATACAAGAAGTTTGGCCCTTCCCCCCTCTCAGGGCAAAGCCAAACCAAACCAGGAATATGCCTACTTGCAGCTCAGATTTCACTGCAGATGCAGAGGGAGGAGCAATGGCAAAACTGATTGTCTCCAGGTAACCAAACCAAAAAGGGACAAGACCAGTTCCATTTAAAGTGCTTTATGGCATCAAACTGATGTCAAGTTACATGTTGAGATGATCACTTCATTTAAAAGAAGCTAAGGCCAACCCCACACAACTCCAACAAGTCTCACACCCTTTGCTACAGCTACCATCTATCACTGGGGTATTCTGACACCTTCAAGCTAATACTGACCACTTCTGTACTTCATCTGAACCCACAATCCCACTTTCTCTGGACACTGAAATCCCTCCTGTTTGGCAGTGGCAAAGACAGGTCAGGAAAAGCCTAAGAAAAGCAAATCTGATTTCTGCCCTCTATGAAACACCAGCACATACAGGGTCCTCTTTTCCCTCCAACAACATGGGCTTTGCACAGACATTTCTGAACCTGCTCCCTGTCTCAGGAACCCCATGCAAAATAAGGTGGTTTGGGTGTTCCAAATGGGATCAAGGGACTGGCTCTGGGAACCAGACGCAGCACCAGGCTGGGCTGAAGAAATAACGAGCTTTCAACAACTTCAGGATGGATGCCAGGTGTGGAACTGGAGCAAATGCAATTTTAAGGCCAGGAAGAGGAAAGGCTTTGGTGCTGTAAAGCTGGGACCATACTCCAGCAGACAACCCAAGGCAACCTGCAAGGAATCTGAGCAGGAATCTGACTCCGGGAACTTATGCCAAGCCTTTCCAAAGAAAACCTGTGAGGGGAAAAATAAAAGGCTAAAGAGATAAAAAACAAGTCCTTACCTTCCTAAAGGTGAAAGAAGAAGGAAGTAGTGTGGGAGGAAAGGCTTCACTCCAAAAAAGTGAATCATACAGTAACAGGCATCCTCCAGGGACAAAGGTCTGTCCACCAGAGTTTAAAACACAAACAGCTTTGATATACATGATTTCTGGTCAGTGTATTTCTGACTCACACCTGTGGCTTCTGTCAAGGAACCACAGGGACCTCCGGAGATCACTCAGCAAACACTATTTTCACTTAGGGCACTGAATGCTCTTTTTGATTTGCACAGGTCAGGAGAGATGGTGAAGCCAGGCAGAGGCTCAGCCCTGCTGCCCTGGATCACACAATCTGCCTTTTGATGCCTTTCTCAGAGCCATGGGACATTCCTGTATTGTGAATCCAAGATGTGTTGGGACTGGGGAAAAGACAGTGGGATAAAATGAAAAGCTCGTAGTGGCAAAGGCTGTTCCAGACTGAGGGGAACTCTCAGGCATACCAGGGCCCTGATCTCTGTTCACACAACAGTAAATGAGCCACACACTGCTTTGGTTTCCAAAAATTTCAGCTTGGCACATTCATGTTTGTAGATGTATAAATAATAGGGCAGGAGTTATTTTCTAAAATTGGTGGTTTTATTATGAAAAAGGTAACACCACACCACCAGCACATTCCTCCTTCAGCTTCCCTTGGGTTAAGGAGAGGAGCTCCTTCCATCTCCCTGGAGAAGAGACCAGACGCTCAGATCACTGCAAGGCACTCCATGATTTGCTTTTTTCTTTGCCTCCAAAAGGTATGAGAAAACCTAACCAAAATATTTAAACAAGGCAACTAACTGATAGGAGGAGCCTTGTCTGAAGTCACTGCATCTTTTTCCAAACTTCTTTTGGTCCAAAGGTGCTCTGCCTTAAAGAAAGCTCTCAGTTGAAATTGTGTAACTCTGGGCATGGCATGAGCTACAAAGCAGCACTGCCCAAACCCTGGTTTTGTAGGAACCAGGAAGATAAGAATATTTGGTTTACCAATCATTTGGTAAGAAAACAAAACAAAAACAAAACAAAACAAAAAAAGGGGGGGGTGAGAAAGAAAGAGAAAAAACCCAAACCATCCCCCAAACAAAAGCAAAAAGAAATAAAAAAATAAAACCAAGTAAATTCCTTTTAAAAAAAAGAACTCTTTCAAATAAACAGAAAGATAAATATTTTTGCAAGCCCCGCTTGCAATTAAGAACAAGCACCAAATAATATTAAAAAAAAATCAAAATACAAATAATTTCAAATTTTTTTCCTTTCTTCCTCTTTTTTTTTCTTTTTTTTGAGTCTTAATAGTGTAGAGAGCTTCAAAAGCAAGCAGGTGCTTGAGGGTTCCTGCACTGACCAAGACAGCCCAGCCTAAGCATCCATCTCACCATCAATGCTGCTGATACTCATCAGCACTAACTCTGAAAACTGCTGTGGGTTACCAGCTCATGAGAAGCCAGAGAGCAAACTGAAATCAAACAACAGTGCAAGAAGAGAAATGGTTTGTTATTTTACAGAAAAAAAAAGTCAGGAAAGGAAATACACTTGACAGCTTCAAACTCTGAGCAAACCTTTGAGCTATTTTGAAGCTGGTGGCATCTTGTAACCATTGACAAATCCATTTGGGTTAGTTCTCCTGAGAAGGTTTGGAAGAATAATAATTTTGGAGAACAGTGTGGCTCTCTGCATTTCTCTTCCCCTGCTGAACACATCCCTGTATTCAACAGCTGTACAAACACCTCAGTTGGCACAGGGAGAGCTGCCCTCGGACCTTCCCCTTCTGCTGATGACAACACAGGGACGCACAGACACTTTCACCCTAGAAAGACCTGCCACGCTGGACTTTTGGACTGTCCCACAGTGGTTTTGTCCATGAGAACATTTTTCTCCCCAGAAATGGTTACTAAGTGCATGGTATTGTACAGCCATAGGGATGGGAGCCATCTCTGGAGTTGGCTCTGCTCGTAGCACACAGGCCCCTGACCCATATTGTCTCACTGAAGTGCTCTGAGAGACTGCTGTTGTGTCATTCTGCCTTAGAAAGGAGCAAGGGAAGCTGACAAAATCCAGGGAAACAGAAGCCCGATGTTAACACAAAAAGTGGGCTAAGAAAAATACAAATAACAGAACAAAGGTCCCTAAAAGCAGATTTTTAGCCATCCCCCCTGGAAGTCATTAGGCTTGTATGGGGATGTCAAATGCAACAGGAGAACTCTTCCAGCAAAAAAGATAATCTTTGCTTCAGGAAGGAATGAGCTGGAGCTCAAAGTGATTATGTGTAAAAATGTTTAGAGTCGTTCCAACTTGAACACGGTCTGTTCTGGCTCCCTGGGATTGCCTTGCCAGCCTACCAAATTTCTCTTTTCTGCACCATTTTAAATATACACAAAGATATTCTACTTGGCTCTGGAAACAATTTGACATTTGAATCCTCTGCCCCATGGAAATCTTTCAGAATGACTTTAAATTTTGTTGTTTTTTTTTTTTTTTCCTCTGAGTTGTTGTTTTTTAACGCTGTTACTGCTTCCCGATGTTCTTCTGAAAGCATGAACACCAAGGGGGCATGCGGGTCACTGGCGTTACAATCGGAGCAGTAAGGGCAAGATATTTAATATCTACACGCACCCTGAAAGTCATCAGGTATCATCTATCCCCATGGGCTGACCTTGGCTGTAAGCACATCCCAGTGGATACATAGATACATATATGTATATATACAGTATATCTATATATGCCAGTGTGTACGCACCATTTGCAGAGTCCTAATCTTTTGCTAAATGCTTGGTTTTGGTTATGTTCCCCAGAAAAGGGGAATTGGAAGGCACGGACCCCTTAAGGCTATGTTCTCTCATCCTTTAGCAGTAAGAAGAGACCGAAAATGTCTATCCCGATTCATTTAACCCAAGGTTTGCACAGAGAGATAGCACTATTTGCTGTGCAGTTCAGCCTCTGTGGTGAGAATTCACGCAAAACCACAGGAGAGAGGCCCTTATCCACCACTTAACAGACTTCATAACACGTTTTATTTAAAACCTCCAGATGCTTGTCCAGCGCAGGCACCAGCCACGTGCTGTGTAACAGGCAGGGAGATGTCCACGGTGCCAATGCCACGAGTGGCCACAGACAGGAGCAGTCTGTGCTCAGCAGAAGATCTCCTCACCCTCTGGAGGTGCTTCTGACGAGTGAGAATCTGCAGCACAAAAAACAACAGGTGGGAATCACTATGGGAACACAGGCGCAGAGCAGGCAGAGCGGGACTCCACGTGCACAGAAACCCCGCTGTCTGCCAAATCCACTGGACTCCTTAAGAGATGTTCAGTTCCCTGAGCAACCATGAAATCACACCTCGTAATGGGTGAGCTTCCCTGTGCACAAGTTGGAAAGCATCAGTGAGTTAACATGGATAAAACTGGTCAACTGAGGGCATGTGATCAAATTTCATGTGGGTCAGAGGTTTGAGGCGCAGATCTGAGTCCTAAGGGGATGCAAAACTACCAGAGAAAAAAACTGCATTTTTTTTTTTTTTTTTTTTTTCAGATCAAGAGGTAAGATAGACCAGCTTGAGGGGAAGGGAGAGGCCACCAGAAGGGTTGTGGCTATCACTTCCAAACTACCACGGAGCTAAAGAAGACATCAATGCCTCAGGAGCTGCAACAGCCAGGAGCACCCCAGCAGCAGCTCCTGAAAGCACAGACACCAGAGCAGGACATTTTCCTCCTTGATGCAGAGCACGCTGAAAAATAAAACAGAGAATCCAGCCCGTGGAAGCTGTTCAGGATGGGATGGGGAAGGGGAGAAGCAATGAGGAGAGTGTGTCCCTCTGACAACCCCAGGGACTGTGGAACAGGCAGAAAAGCCCACAGATCATCACTTCAAGCTGGGAACTCCACTTGTCACAGATGATCTTCTCCATCTCTATGCTACCATCCACATTTAAAGCTAGATTTTGTGCTTCCACAAGTTCTCTGGCTGAAGGAAAACAGCCAGCTCACCAACCTGAAAACACACCTGTGACCTCCCCTGACACTCACCAGACTGTTGGGACCGATGTCCTCTGCCCTTTTTCTTCTTTTCCTTCTTCTCCTTTGGTTTGGCTAAACTGAAGAGGCGAGTAGGCATCTGAGTCTGTTCCTCAGCTGCCTTGTTAGTCTGGTTTGTTGTGCTAAGCAAATGGAAAGTGCTTTTCTCTTTGTGTGTCCTTGAAAGACTGTTCCTTTTGGGGGAGACAGACAGTTCTGCATCAAAGTGCCCTTGTTTAGGAAGGGAAGGGCTCTTCTGCTTGGAGGATTCATCGATGCTGGACTGGGAGGAGACTCTTGTGAGTTTCTCATGTAGATTTGAAACCTATAAAGGAAGAGTGTTTTATGAAAGAGGCAACAGAGAACCTGGATAGGAAAGGTGTCCCAGACCACTCATAGAGACAGAGATTGTTCTTGTGAACATCCAGCCCATTCACCAGCTAAAACATTGTCTCCATCCAGGTAAAGCAAAGAGAGAAAAGCCCTCTCAGTTTAAGACGAAAAAACGATGCATATAAAGAGTAACACTCCACCATCTTTTGCTCCTACATGTACTATGCTATGTATCAACAAGCCAAGGGCAAATATTCCCTAAGATCTCACAACCGAGACTCACCCTGCATCGTTTGCACACACAGATGGTGGCAGGAGGCCAAGGAACAGTGTGCTTCTCTGGGAGGGGAATGCCAGCACACCAGAGCAGCATGTGTCAAAGGAAGCCTTCCCAAGCAAAAGATGAAAGCAAAAACATTTTTCCCAATTTTTTTTTTTTTCTCCTAACGGCTGTCTCAGGATGTAATTGAGCTTGCACATTCAAAGGGAAGATCAAAACAACAGCCCAACAAAGCCTCACTGAACCCTCTATTAATAGCTCTGCAATGTCAGTAAGATACCTGCCTCGAAAAGGTGTTTCCTTCTCCTAAATCCCCTAAGCCTTGCAGGCATTTTACTTCTCAGCCCCTCCCACAGCATCCATGCCCCTCACATGTCTACGTGTGCTTGATGCTGGAACAGCTTCACTGGCTGCTCAGAAAACTTCTGGCTTGATCAGGAACTGGGTGGGAGGGAGCAGGCCCTCCTCTGGTGATTAGCTTTTCAGAGCTCACTGCTCCAAAATTAGTCCATTCAGGCACCCAAAATCATTTCCATTTGGCAATCCAACATTTATAAACTAATTTTGCTGCAGCTCTAAGCTAATTACAGTCAGAATCAGTGAGTTACAAACAAACAAATGATCAACAGGCTTAAGGATGAAATTCAGCCCGTGTTTTGCCAACGATGCTTGCTCTCCTCCCCCAGACTGCTGCACAGCTATAAAGAAATAAACCCCAGCTTGCTGAAAAATGCACAGAGTAGGATCTGTGTGGGGGCTCTCTTTGTGCTTGTGGGCAGCCAGGCACCAGAAGGCTCTTTCAGCAGAGCCAGGGACCTTTGCTCACTGAGCCACAACTGGACTGCAGGTGCCCAGTCTCTCCAGGACAGGGGCAATGCCCATCTCTTTGCTAGATATTGAGAATGCTTTTGCAGATGGATGTCAGCATGCAAACAGCCCTGTCCTGCAGTTATCAGCCTCACAAGGGGCTTTTGTGACAACTGGAGGGTGCAGGTAACCCACAACGCTCTGGCTGTTTCCAAAGGACGTCTCCTTTGCCTGACTGCGCTCCAGAGCTCAGGTCTCACAGGGTGAAGGTCAATGTCAGGCAGGATCAGCCTTCTGAGATTGCCTAGGACATCTTCTCTGGGAGCGAGCCACCTCCTCTCTGCCATCCCTCAACGTATGGCACACAGAAGTGGGCAGAACTCAGGCTGTTGTAGCCCCCTGCTGCTCAGCACTGGCCAGGCACCCCAAATACACCACGTTGCACCAACACTGGCAGTGCCTCAGCAGCTGAGGTGCAAGAAACACAGGGGTGCAAGAAACACAGCTCTGCACATCACATGCAAGGAAAGAGACAGTTTGAAATACCAGGCCCCGCGTGTCTAGGGCTAGGCTGGCACCAGTCTATCCCTGCAGGCATGCAGCTGGCCCAGGAGCTGGCTGGGAGCTCCCTGCAGGACTCTGCTTCCCCAGGAGCCTGGCCCTTGGCATCATTTACCTGGTTGTGGTCAGGCTCCTGCCGCATTTGAGATAATCGCTCCATATCCTGCTTGAGTTGCACCTTCTCCCTCTCCAGCTGCTTCTGTGCCGTGCGAAGCCTCTCCAGGTCGAGCTGGTAGGCAGCCTTCTTCATCTGCAGCTCCTCTCGTTCCCGCTCCAGCTCCTGCCACCTTCTCTGGACCTGCTCCTCACGCTGGGTCAGTTGGGCCTCCTGCTCTGCCAGTTCCTTCTCCCGGACTTCCCATTCCTTCTCTCTCCTCCGCCTCTCCTCCTGGTGCTGTGTCTGCTGCTTCTTCAGGTTGGCCAACTCCTGGCGCTGCTTCTCCAGGTTGCGCTGCTTCTCCTGCTCCAGCAGCGAGGTCGGCCGGAAGAAGCTTCGGGTCAGAGCCCTCTCACTCAGAGCAAGCTTCTGGTCCTCAATGTAAGTGTCCTGCTGCAGCACGACGCCCTGGGAGAGCAGGCACAGAAATCACTACAGCATCCTGAGGAGAGGCCCATCCCTGAAAACCCCAGGGTGCTGTACTGAACCCCTTCATCTCCCACCACACTCACAGCGCAGCATTGCTGCCTTACAGCTGGGCTACCAGAGGATGCTGAAAAGCATCTCCCTCAGCAGCTTCCCAAACTCAGGTGAGCACTGGTTCCCTTAGGCAGCAGCTCATTCCAACATTCCCAGCACGCTGCTGTGGAGTATCCAGCCATGCAGGGATGTGACAGGCAGAGGAGAAGGGCAGACAGGGGTGAAACATGACTGGCAGTTCGGGCAAGCAGCAAGCAGAAGCAGGATGAAGGGCTAAGCCTACCTGCAAAGCACTGAGCAACTTATGGAGGCTGGTAATGGTTTGGAGGACCTGCTGCGAGAAAACAAAAGCGTTGCTATTAGATCTCCCTGGGTGCTGGGGCAGGTGTACAGCACCCTCCTTCCCTCTGTGACCCACTGTGGTCTGACAAGCTGTACAGCCATCCCTCTGTACCTTCCTTTTCCTCACTCTTCTCCTGCAATGACTGCATCGTCCCCCAGTACACCAATACATCCCTTGGACATCTCCCAGAGGTGCCTGGCATCACCTCCCTCCTTTCCCTAGCTGTCAGTGCAGCAGGTGAAGAAACATCTGCAGAAGTACCTAGTGGCACAGGCTTCATGAGAAGTCCCAGTTTGTCACTGCAAACCATTTACCACAGCATCAGCTTGCTCAAGAACAAGCAGAGTAATTGGGATGAAACCCAACAATTCACTTAAAAATTTCAGGAAAAGAACTTCAAGGGGTAAAAAAAACCCTAGAAATCTTAAAATGAATGTGGACTATTTGTACTGTTCTCCATCAGCTGACCCCTACAAGTCCTACTGCCATTAGACAGAAAAGCTGCACTACAGCAGGTACACAAGAGCAGCAGGTGTGTTCTTGGAGGCTCTCCAAAAATACAGGTAAATGCAAACACCTTGTGAATCAACACAAAGCAACCTACTTTGGACTGATGCCCTATCCCCAAATTTAGCCTAGCTAAAATTTTCTCTGAATCTCTCATATCCTACAATTATTTTAAGAAGAAAAACCACTGCAGTATTTGCAGTAGTGATGTGATAGCCAGTATTAAGAGAGCTGCTTCTTATTGTGCCATTAATGCTAATTGGAAGTTATGAATGTGTATCAAAGGGAGAATAGAAATCTAATTGCCCCAATTCACTGCACCTGCAACATAAAATTAAACTCTCTCTGTCTGCAGATGCACAATAAATACAGCCCTGTGCATCCTGGTGGTAATTAACCCTTGCTGCCTATAATCAGCACATATCATCCTGCTGGCAAGCAGATGACAATCAGTGAATTCCCTGTCTGAACATTCAAGGTTAAACAAATAAATGACACAGTGGGTTCAGCTTAATGTATTTAAAAGTCTAGATGCGCTTCAGCAAATGAAATGTGTTTTCTTCTACATTATCACCTATTGAGACAAATTCTCTTCCCACTTAAAGGAAGGAAACAGCTGAGCAACGGAATCAATTCTTACCTCATTATTCCTTTTCAACATGAACATCAGATTAGCATTTCCACCCTATGATAAAATCACAAATTTAATATGAGGACAATGAGAAATCACGGCAAATGTAATTAGCTGAACTAATGACGTACCCATTAAACACCCCCCCACACCTTTCATTCTGGGAGAATTCACACACTGTTTTTTAGGCAAGTTAAAATCATATACAATAAAATATTAATTAGGTAACATTTTGTAGTTATGTGATAGATTGATCTGCAGCAAGAATAGGTGCAAGGTTATAGTTGACCTTATCATTTCAATAATGATGCATAATTAAACACATGCTTTGGCTGTTCTGCAGACAGATGGTAGATAACTTGTGCCACTGAGGAATAAAAGTGATTTGCAATAGTTTTCAAGTCAGGATTTTAGCTACAGCGAAGTGGTTTTAGTTGCATACTTCCAATTTTATTTTATTTTTAACTTACTAGGACATATGTAATTCTCAAGAAATTTAGGCATTTTTCAAGACTAGAATTGTCACTTTCTTGCAACCTGAACTCAGTGCTAGCAGATAGATAAACCAAGCTGTACCTTCTTTAAAATGCTGTCTGATTCTGTTCTTCGAAGGTCCTGAGCGTCATCGCCTTCATCTTTCGCTCCACCTAAAGGAAGAAGCCAGCACTGACACTGGTTATTCAACATCCTAAACCATGGATGAACTTGCTAAAGTCTGAGAAATTTAATACAGGAAACACATGTTTCAGAAAAGGGGACACAGAGCTACTGACACTTTAACTAAATGCATTTGCTCCTTAAATATGCGGAACACGTCAGCACTACCAGAAAAAGTGGATGTGAATTTAGATTAAGATTGACTTTGGTTTCAGAGAACGTGCTGATAATTTCGGCACACTGCTATCAATTGGTGCTCTTTCTAGCCCCTGCACTGCCATCTACTACCACAGAATACTTGCTGAGAAGACATGAGGCAGAGTAAGAGCAGATGGAGGATGATAACAGAATCATATCAGGGTATATTATTGCAGGTATAGTTTCAATGCCTCTCTTGTGCAAGTTAATTTACATCTGGGTCAGGTACTGCTCTGTGACACCCTGTGTAATTCTATGCCAGCCATTTACCATTAACCTTAGTTATCAGAAACCTGGATCTTTAAAGGAAACCTGGACTTCTCTTTCTAACTTCCCCCTGGAAGACTCATATCAGTGCTCCCAAGCAGGACTGAACTGACCTGTGGGGACAGGAGGGCTGTAACCCTCCCCCTGTGCTGCCCTTCTGCTCAGGGGTGGCAAAGGAGTGGCACAGACCTTCCATCCTCTAGCTCTTGCCAAGATTCCCGTACTCCTCTTGCCAGTTGAGATGCAGCCCATGGGGAAAACCCACACCTGCAGTGGTAACCTTCCAACTGCCACTGTTTTAATGATAAACAACTTTACATACACCTGAATCTGCACAATGTGAAAGGCACCATACCTAGTGCAAAGGCCCTCTCACCCCCCACCCCCCAGGCAGGCTTTGCTATTAAAGGCTGACCCTCAAGTCCTCCTAACAGACCTTCTCTCCTGCGCCACATCCTGGGACCTTCCACCTCTTTGCAGGAGGAAACACCTCCCTTCTGCTTTGCTGGAGGGGAGAACGAAGGGGAGTCAGGTTATAAGCTTTGCCCGAGGTTTCACAGGTTGTGAACAGAAGAACTGGAGGTGAATGCCAGGTTTCATACCTCCTGGTCTTCAGCTGAACAAACAGGCCCTGCATTCTTTTCCCCAAATCTCCCAAGACCCTACAACTACTGAATTACAATCTAATTCAAAAGAGGGTATTTCTACAGAAAACCTAGAGCTGGGGAATGAACAGCCTGAGGTTGCCCCATTCATCATTGCAACAGAGAGGCACAACCCTAAACAAACCCCTCCGGTGTGAATACATTTGTCATTATGATGACAAGGCCTGTGAAGGGCTTTGCAGCTTTCCAATAGAGCTGGGAAAGCCTCTACATATTTCTCATGTCTGACTGTCTGGAGCTAACACTGCTCCTTTAATGCAGGAGGTCAGACAAGGTCCAACGATCCCAGTGCTGAGACAGACACCAGCACAGCAAAACTGGTTGTATTGGGAGTGTGAGCGAGACCACAGAGAAAGGAATCTGAAGACAGGGAAGTTTCTGATGACTTGGGCAAAGAAAGAGAGCATTGGGAAGCAGCCAACTATGTAGCTGAAATAAATAGTCACACATTTCTTTGGGAGAGACTTAATTGCAGGAATAACACATGCAGTTGTAGGTGGAAAACAAATGCATAGAGAGCAGAGACAGGGGAGAAGGTGTTTGATTCAGCAATATCCTCATCCATTTGCAAATGCAACAGCACCAGGCTCCTGCTGGAAGATAAGTGAAGAACAAAGAACAGAGCTGTAGATACTACAATAATAACACGAAGAAACTAATTTATTGAGAAGACAAACGTTTCCATGTGGCACATAAGTATAAGAGTACGGATGAGTTAGAACACAGAGAGAAAGAAGTGAAGAGTTCAGATGTTTAATCCTTGTTTAGCCACAGGTCTTCAGCTACCATCATTCTACCTGTACGTAGACTTTTCTCCTAATCTGTGATTTAATCTATCGACTATTATTGGAGAGGAGCTGTGAAACCCAAATCACCAGCTGAAGTCCTTCTGAAGCAAGAGGATATGATGACATGTACTAGGAACAAATTCTGGTGTGCACACACGTAACTACTCACCCTTGGAAGCGTTCATCTGATGACTGTCAAATCCTCCAAAAGTTTCTGCCCTTCTAGGAAGAGAGACGGGGCCAACTCCTCCTTCCTGTTCCATGGCAGTGCTGCTGACCTGCTGTCCAAGGGCAGTGCCCAGGCTCCTGTTCACCAGGTCTTGCAGCAGTTCGACTGATAAAAAAGCAACAATGTCTTTGTTAAAGGCCACCTCAGGCTTCTGAGCTATTTTCATCACTGCTTGAGCTCAGGTCAGAAATTCACATACTTTGCTGGACCAAGAGCCTGTGTTTCTGTGACAATGGTATGAACAGTACGCATTGCCCCTGCAAAAACTCAGTCTGCCTGACCATTAACTCCAATTCCTGGAGCTCTGCACAGCTTACACCTCCCTCTCTTCCTCCAGGCAACCTGATATGCTCTGACAACAGCATCTAATAATTTTTAGCCTCTTCAAAAATCACACTGGAAAGCTGACTGAGTTTCCATCTACCCTTGCTTTTGTCGATGGACTTGACTGTCCCTTGCAGGCATCACAAGTGCCTGCTGGAACCCAAGCCCCACTCTCACATCTTGCTGAGACTGAAGCACAGCAAAAAGCCTGGACGGTCCAAATTTCAGCCAAGGATAAATATTGTGCTGCTCCTGACCCCAAAGCAGGTTCAATGCATGGTTGTTCTCTGTGCTGATTTTTCTGCCTTCTTTCAACACTCATCTGCTTCCTTTCCTGATCCTCATGACCTGTCCCTGAGACAATATCGTGAGTAGCATTATCTCCTCATCTGTGCTGTTATTCTGACAAAGAGAAGACTTCCCCTGCAAGACTAGTGCTTGAGAACTGACACTTTCACTGAAGCTGAGGGGTCTGTTGGTTACTGTAATTTACATGTCACCTGACTGGCTCACCTTCATTTATTGCTGTTTTCATAATGGCCTCTCCTTTTGGAGCCTCTTCTGTGTTGGCTCTGAAGAGCAGCCTGGAGCCTGGCATCTCCTCCTGCACAGAACTGTCTGCCATGTCCCGGAAGATCTTTGTCTTCTCCTCCAGCAAGAGCAGGATCTGCTTATCCTTCTGCTGAAGTTGTTCTGTGGGGGTGAACAGAAAACAAGAGATGAAGACAAAAAATAAAAGCTTCGTCAAGGAAACCTGAGCGATTCCTGAGATACTGGCCCCATCTAGTGGAACCTGACAGTATGTGCTGGGTTTGGCAGCACATACTCTGACACAGTATGACAATGCCCTGCACAATCCATGCACAGTACTGGCACCCAGCAGGCTCAGAACAAAAATAATGCAGGGAAGGTGAGCCACAAACCAGGATTACAATTATTTGCTGGATGTACGGCTTTCACTCATTTGAAAAATATTGTAGTTCAACCACAAAACCCAAATCAAAAATTCCTGTACATTTTTCCAAAACCACTCCCCAGTTCTGTCCCAGGCAGGATTTTACCTTTCAGTCCTCTCACTTTTGCATCAGACAATTTCTTTTCGAACTCAGACTCACAAGGGACTCCTTCATCTTCATCTCTATCCCTGGACAAGAGACAGGGATAGGCTTGATTATCACAGGAACACAACCATGTGCACCACCTGCCTCCCAAGAACAGCTGGGTAGCTTACATGGTGTTCATTGTGTCCTGAATTATCTGTATCCAGCCGTTACGTTCTTCTTTGGAGCTGGCATGGACTTCCACCATTTCGGGATCTTTTCCGCCCATGCTGATCAGGAACAAACCCTTCTCTTCGTGAGCCACTTCCCGTACTATTAACTTCTTCAGAGAGATCACAGTGGATTTCTGGTCCTTCAGATGGAAAGAAATGGGTGAGGAGGGTGAACAGTGCTACTTTCCAAGTGTAAACTAGCATTGAAAAGGTCCCAATAAACCATAGCACTACATCTTTCAGGCTGTAAACATTTTCTGAACCTATTGGTTAATTAAAAAAAATAAACTATTTTAATGGGGTCAAACAACAGGGAAGGGTTTGCTTTCCTCTGACAGTTCTGCAGGAAAAGCAATTTCACCTCATTCCATTTCAACAAAGAATTAATTTTTGAATTGACTTTGTGGTTTTATAAACTCTACCATATTTTGCTCTGATCTCACTTCCTCCTGCCCACGCTCTCCCTGTCAGTAATATCACAGCTCCTTACACTTGGTGCAGCTTGCTAGTGCCTGCTTCACACACAGTATCTTCATGATCTCTCTCTAGGATAGAATAACATCTTGTTTTCAAATGCCACGAAACCTCGGCTGTTCTCAGAAGCTCACAGCTGACTCCTGTGTGAGAACTCGTGTGTAAGATGCTGTTCACTGTGTGTTATGGCATTTGTGTAATCAGCCTGCTGGGTTACAACGTCCCTTTGCTGCTGTGTCATCTGCACACGAGTCAGCCCCTTTGTGCACTTTACCAGCTGCTACAAGTGGGGTGATTTGGTAGAGGTCCACTAGCAGGACTTGTGTGCAAATCAGCTTCTCCCGTGTAGGGCACTGAGCCCGTGCAGAGGGTTGGTGGAATTGCAATAACAAATTAACAGCTTTCAAAATGCTCAAAGAGTGGAAAGGTCACAAGGTTTAGCCAGTCTAGACCATGCCTGGAAGGTACAGCCCAACAGACTCCATTAGGCACTAGGTTTTCTTTAGCAGGTCAGTGTGCCCAGCCCTTTTCAGGGGCCTGCCCTCAAACGCTAGTGTTTTTGCTCTTGTGCATTGCAAATATATTTCTCTGACGTTTATTTTCCAGCTGTTCTGTTGAATTTACTGCATTTGCACTTCACCTCACCATCCCCCACAGCAGCCCACAATGTATTAGGACATCTCCTTCTGCTAAGGTTCATTTTTACAATGTTTGCATTATCTCCTTGCCCCCTCCCGCCCCAACCACTGCTTCTATGTGCACAAACTGAAAAGCACAAGTGTATCGAGTGACAGGCAGCTTTTCAAGGCCAATTATCAGCTGTGCCAAGGCACTGCACAACGGGGAGGTGGGGCATGAAGACATGTTTTCCTGTCAGAAAGAATGGAGTCTGCTCAGCAAACAAAAATGTTGCGAGCAAGAAAAGTGAGTTGTTTAGCAGACAAATGGCTGGCTGTGCTGCACAACACACATCACGAGTCTCTCACATAGAAAAGGAAGAAGGAGAAGAGGTCGAAGTCTTACCAGTGAGGCAAAAACATACTTCTGGTCCTTCTCCTGAAGGAACACGAGCATGTCAGAGAGGAGAACAGCCTGGACTTCTGCAAAAGAAGCAGCATAACAGTAAGTATAACCACACAACCCACCCCAAAACAGATTTCTTGTAATAACACCAGTGCTGGGGAGCAGCAGGGCTGGTTTTGCAAATGCTGGAAGCAGGATCAACCTCCCAGTTAGCAGGAGGAGCAGGGGTAGCTCCTGGAGATGCCAACTCAGGTTAGCTCTGAACTGACTTTGCATTAAGCAGAACAAATCAGTGCCTGGAAAACCTGCAGGATTTGCTCTCATCTGTCTGAGCGAGGGTGCTCCCCTCCTGCCACATGCTCACTAGCAGTTAAGACGTGGGCATAACAGCGAAAGCCAGAGACATTTACTCAATAGAACCTCTGTTTTCTCAAACAATCAATATTTTAGCCCTTGAGCAAAATATCTGCGCAGGAAGTTTTGGGTTTTATGGTTCTCTTGATGAGTGGTTTGCAGAGTGTAAATTATCATGCAATAACAACATTTGTCAGCTGCAGTTTCTTTCCGAGGAAATACTGACTTCAGGAGCCACCACTAATTCTGCTCTCAGACAAACACAACTCTTGTCGACTCCGAGGGGAGCCGACAGAGGCTGTGTGAGACACAGGACCTGGCTTTCTTTCATGGGAGAAGGAAGCACAACCTCAAGCCAACAGAGGATTTTAAATCAGTCTTTTCCCAGAGTGCACATACAGCTTTCCAAGTCTCCTAATGACATATCATAAAGTTGCACAGCAACTACCAAGTGTAGTGCCCCACCCAGACCCTTCGGTACAAAGAGTTTTTGTGTAATGTACTTGGGAAATCTTGTGACAGAGAGGAAGCAAACCAGAAAGTTAAATCATCCCATGGGTAAATCCTTCCATTCTGTTTTCGGAAGACAGGATCCATTCCAGAGAAAAGAACCATGAAACTTTAACCAAAGCTGCAAAATTAAATCCAAGCTCTGTGAGGTTTGCAAAAGGTGCCATTTGATTCCCTTTTTCTCTGTTCCGTGCACTTTGCAAGAGGGGAAATGCTAAAACCCTCTAAGAAACGTTCTTCCTCTAATTCTCTGTGCTGCGTTTAAAATCCTGCAAAGCAGCCTGACTATAAGAACAAGCTGCTCTCCCTGGGTCTGCAGCTTGCCTGCAGGACCTGCTTTCCCTAGGAGTTTGCACTACAGACATGTTTATGCATCTCTATCACTAAGAAATGCAAATGGAGCCAGTGCTTATCACAGGATTTCACAACAGCAGCATAACTTGCTTCATCAATCATCTAAAGGCAATAGTAGTCTCGGGTGCCTAGAAATCATCTGTAAACTTCCTGTTTCCAAAACCTCGAAATAAATCATACCCTGTATGGAATTCTATGTTATCACTGCCTCCCTGCACAGCACAGCACTAGGCTCCCAGTCCCCGTTCTTGCCCACAGACCGTAATTTAATCAGCTAATGCTGGAAGGGGAGAAGGAAAGACCAGCCTTCCTGCCAAGCCTGAGAGACAGCCCTGTCTGCTCTTACTGCTGCCATGGTCCCAGCTGAAGGATTCCTTGGGAGAGTTAGTGTTTAATTCAGGGGAGAACTTCAGTGCACAGCACCTTAAAAAAAACTACTTCCACCTAACAAACAAAAAGCAATTCAAGAAAACACTAACCCAACAAGAGGCAGCTGCAGGGACACCAGAGCCTCTCCTGAACAGTTTGCGTCAGCAGAAGGCAGGACAGTCTCACCTTTTAGCCGTCCAGCTGCACTTCTTAGTGAAACAGGCCCATCTCGGATGAGTTTCCGATGCCTCAAGTCCTCTCTTGCAAACATCTGGCCACTCTTCATCCTCATGATGGACTTGCTGTCCGTCCGGTTGTAAATCTCACCAAGACGCATTTTCTTCTCATAATTGCTGACTTTGCTGTTGACTGCAGCAATCACATCTTTGACGAGGTTTAATGACTGAGTCAAGTCTTCATGTTCCACTTCGTTTTCTTTAAAAAAGAAACAGAGAGACCTCGATTTCACTTCATCTTTGTGGAGTCTAACTTCCCAGTTTTACTTCCTTCCTTCCTCTTCTCCCTCTCAAATTCCAGCATTATAACTTTGTAATATTTAAATGAGACAGGATGCATTTTTTCCCCTTAAGGAGAGTTTCACAAAACCTTTCACATATATGTGGTTGAGGTTGGGGACTATTCCAATATACTTTGTATATGAGTGAGTATGGATGAAATACACAAATTAATCACATATTTTAGCCATTACCACAAAAAAAGCAAGCTGGGAACTTTGGAGACTAAGCATGTTGCTCCATAATTAGCTACAGACAGACTTAACTAAATCAAGGTACCTGAACAACTAATCCTAAATGGAGATATGGAACTGAGTTATCTCGTTACAGCTGCACAAGACAACAATGACTGGATTACCTGGTAAGAGAATCTGCTTCAGCTGAAAAGGATCAAAAAAATTTACACTGGATGAACAAATACACAGTTAGAATAAAGGAACTGGTCCCTACCTTTCGTGTACTGCAGTATCCTTTGTAAAAGGACAGGGTACTTTGTGATTCTCTGCGTTACCAACAGGATACATTCAGGAATCCCAAGACGCCTCACCAGGGAGCTGCTCATTTTTTTCTAAGGAATAAAGGCGAAACTTTAATTTCTGTAGCAAAATGGTCACCATAGTGTAGGAAGGAGATGCTTTTTCCATTGACTATGTCTGTCCTACCAGATCCTACCTTGACAAATGCCTGAAACCGCTTGTCCTTGGAGTACAGATCTTTGAAGTAATTGACTGCCTCGTTGTGATGCCCACAGAATTTGCCGTAGGTTTTCTTCATTCGCTCGGCGCTGTCACCGGAGAACTGCAAGACATGAGACACAGAGCTCCAATCTGCACTGAGCTCCTGGTGTGATATCCCAGCAGTGCCTGCCAGCCTCTCAAAAGAATCTGATGAAACTAAATTAGTCCAAAGCATCCTTAATCAATCAAACAGATCTCCAGAAAGTAAAAGAGCTGATTTGGGGAATTTACTGAGTTCACACCTACAGCAGAATTTGGGATTCTACTCACAGGGCTTAACAGACAAAAAGAAGGCAGAAACCATGGATAAAGAAAAGTAAAATGACCCACCCAAAGTTAAACAGCAGGTCAGTAACGTAGCCAAGAGACACACTGAGCATATTTTGCTGTGAGCTCCTGCCTACACTCTAGGCTATAGTCGGACTGTTTTGTGCCTGTCAGCAAATGCTTCTCTTTCCCACAAAATGAACTAAATTAATTTTCAACAGTGGACCTTCGTCTGAAAGAGCAAAAAGTGCCTAAAAAAAAGCAGAGGCGGAGATTCTTACATGTGGGAAGAGTAAAGGTGCCATCAGCTGTGATTATCTGACAGGCACAAACAGGAGGGAAGGAAAAGTGCCTGGTTTCCAGCTGTGTTCTCAGAACTGCAAGCATTTTCCAGCACTTACTTGATTCACTAGGATGTCACCTATCCTCTTGATAACAAAGTTCTTTTCACTTTTGTCTGCCAATGACTCCTTCTTCCTTTCCAGAATCCGCTGGAAAAAGTTACTGTGGATTTGCAGCAAGTTTTCCAGGCAAGGAAAGATCTTGTCAATGACTTGTTGATCATACTGCAGCTCCTTCAACATCGCTGCGCTGTACACATCGTTCATGATCTTCAGGGTGCGGACGTGATGCATTTCTGTCTGCATTAGCTCTGTATAGGATGGGGACAAGGTCAAAACCAAGGTCACTGTGGAGTTCATGGGTTACAGCACAAGGAAAAGCTGCCAGGAGAAAGCTCTTCCATAATTGGGTTTCTCTCTGGTTTCAGAAAATTTTATGTCAGCTATTGAAACATCAATCAGTAGCTTCATGTATGAGAGAAAAAGTGAGAGAAATAGTTTCGCATGTAAAAGCAGGGCAGAGGAATCCCACAATAAAGAGCTTTGGACACTGAAGTCTGAACCTTCAGCCCTGGTATCTGCTCCTTCCTAACTCACTGGCAGCCTCAGCATACTGCCCTTTTGCCACAGAGGCTGGTTCCTGAACCTGTCAGGAGAAGACTTCCTAGCTACCTGCTCTGCTGTAACTGAGTTTAAATGTCATCAGCAGACAAACAAGGAGAGGCAGTTTCTGGGAATTTTTGATGGCTTCTGGATATGGGAATTGCAAAAAAAAAAGCCTTCGCAGAATACATTACATTTCTAAGAACTACAAGAATGAAACTATGGCTTCTAAGGAAACCAACTCAATGTTTCCTGACCTAAAGTTCAGTGACCTAAAGTTTCCCAAATCCATGCATGTGGGAACATCAAGAAGCTATCTAAAACAAGTGAAAAATGAAGATGCAGGTATCTCACCATAAATGACATCTTGCCGTTTGACAACGTCTTTGTTTTGCTGCTGTAGGAACTTGCTGTCCACTACTTGGCTCCAGGACTCTGCCTCCAGCTGCTTGGAATCTAATTCCAGTTCTCCCATGAGCTGTCCTTCATTCATGTCCGCTCCTTCACAAAGCAATGTAAGTGCCATTAAGATGTGGGTAACTTGTCCTGTTCGAGATTCCTGTCTATTCATTTAGGTTTAGGCATTGTCTGTCACACCACAGACACCACACACATTCTCCTTTCCTGACACAAATGATCATATACCACGTAAGGACAAGGTTATGAAAAGCACTTTTAAAGATTATTTCTTAGTTGCAAAGAACTAGTTGGCCATTTTCACACAGACCAAATTCTAGCTCAGATAATGTATTCTGAAGCTGCAATGCAACAACATCGCAGATAAAAAACCACAGTAGAAGAGGAAATGTTTTTCCCTGAGCTAAATTCCAAGTAACTCAACTGTAACTGAAACCTTCTAAATGTTTTCCCACAATTCAACAAGCTAAAGTAATTAATATGTGGGGGGGCTTTGTTTATCATGCTGATATTCTAAGATTAAAATAAATGCACATTAATTGTCCATTAGAAAGGAGGACTTGCTGAAAATGGATTTTGTATTTCTGGAAAGCAGCACTGAGACCTTCCTTTTGCCATAAATGCCATGGGGATCTCTTACCTTCATCAACCAGTGACTCCATGGATTCATTCACCCGGCTGATTTTATGTAAGGAGTCTGTTGACTGTGACAGGAATTTCCAAGTGTGTATTAAGTTGTCATCGTTCCCAACTCTGCTGAAAAACAGAACGTACAATATTGTTTATGACATAAAAAACCCAGCCAAATGTACTTTCAAATAACCAGAAGAAATGCATTTTAAATACAAATTGGAAAAAAAAAGCCAGCACTGCACGATTACATACAGAAATGTGCTTTCAGTTGTTTTCTAACTACCCTCTGCGGCTCAAGAAGCTGTAAGAGGTACAGTTCTGAGTGCTGGTGCTTCTTCTATAAAGAATCACACCTGAGGTTTTATGGTTTGGATAGCTCCATTTCCACTACTTTCCATTTTAGTCACATCCCATCCTCACTGCCCTTGGTGCAAGCAGTGCAAAAAATGCAACACCAAAGGCTATACAAGAGTCCTTATCATTAGCTCTGAGAAAGATGAGAAAAATGGACTGAAAAAATTTCACCATGACTAGCCAGGGCATTCAAACTGCCCAGAACATGCCAGTCCATGCTACTGCCTCATGTGTAGAACTGCTCAAAATGCAGGTAGGGCAGGAACCATAAACTAGATTTTCTTCTATGATTTTTTTTTTTAATTAATTACTTATAATGCAGTCCAAACCCACCAGGCAGACTGCAGCTCTATGCCTTCACCCCTACTGTCATGGACACAAAAGTTAATACAATACCTGAGCTGCAAATGTGTGCTTGCACAGTATCCAGCCTAAGGCAAGGGAATTTCCTCCTGGATCCCAGAGCATCTCTATGAAGTGGCCTTGAATCTAACCAGGCCAACTCAGACTCCTCTGAACTCATGCTATGACTAAACTAACCCAGGCAATCTGACTGTGCAGAAGACACCTGAAGGTATCATACATAACATGGGTATTTCTGGCTTTGTGAACCTCTTCTGTACTTTTAGCACAAATCATAGTCCATGAATCTATTTTCAGTGAGATCTGAACTTCGTTATGTTCGCAGCGTCAGGTAACACACGGGTGATCAGGTGTCCAGGGAGAAACCTTACCCTGCAATGTTCTGTATCGAGACACTTTTAGAAAGTGCTGTAGGCTGCTGTGATGATCTCCTGTTGTTGAACATTGAGGTGACAGTGCTTTCATCAGGAGCAAGGATTGCTGAGCGAGGGCGCTCCTTGGGCTGCGAGCCTGGAAGGGAAGGGTCAGAGAGGAGTCAGGCCGTGTAACTGCCTTAACCGCTGCTAACCGTGATGGTGATGATGACTTAAAGGATCCAGGCACTAAAATTCACTTCCTTATTGTTCTAGAATCATCACCAGGGGATCTCAGCAGTTAAAACCAGCCACAGGAAGGAAATAACATGGATCCCTGTCCAGAACTGACTGCACTGCACTACACCTAAAATTCCTAGGTGGGATCTGCAAGTCCAGAAACATATACTTTGGAAACTGAATTTAATTTTAATTTAATTTTATGTGATAAATAGTCATATGTTTTAATCTACTCTGTTGCTTTGTCACTCCCCTGGGCCTATAATTATATGCATCTTGCTGCTTCTGGTCACATTTTTTGAGAAGGTTTCTCTATCAGTATGTGCCACAGAGAAATGATAATCCTTATTTCATTATACTAAATTATAGTTTTACTATCATTATAGATTAGCTTTAACTAATCTTTCATATTAATTCCAGATTTTTTCCTTCTTCAGATGCATTTCTGCTTTCTGGAGTGGCATCTCTGATAAATACCACAGTGATTACAACTGTATTATGCAGTGTGGCTCCACATAGAGATCTCCAAGCTATCACTTAACAAAGCTTATCACTTAAGATTATCAAATTATGGCACTATAAAAACCCATTTGGGCTATTTCATGCCTATTCTATACCCTTGGTCACACTGTACTGCAAAGTCAGGAAAAGTTTGTCAGCATTCCTCCTATTCAAAATTAAACTTTTTATTTTGACTACCTCAAAGCCTAACACTATTTAATTAAAACAAAAATAAATGTATTTTGAATAAACATCCTCTCCACAGGCTGCATCTTCCAGATTTTGTGGTCTTACCAGCTGTAGGCATCAGCAAGCTACACCGGTCAAGTGGTTATTTTAAATCTGAGATAACTTTACGTCTGCTGAAAGCTACATGGCCACTGCAGAAGCAGATGAACTCTGTACAACTTCAGCACAACTTCTGAAATCTCAAATATTGCTTACCACACGCAGAGAATGTTCTCATCCCTGCTTTGATAAACACTTATCTTTCATAATATCAAGTTAGCAGTTGTCAGAACAGTTAAGAACATCACCAAAGGAGAGGGAAAGGAAGTTTTCTTACTTTTGTTTCTCATGGTTACTGTGGGTAACGAAGAGGTATCATGTGCCTGCAGCATCCCTCTCTGTGGCTGAAAGAAAAATGAATTTCACTGTAATTTCTTCCTCCTTTTCCGCAGCAATTTGTTCCATATAACTAAATTAAAAAAGTTATGTTTTTCTGAATCCTCTCAGAACAGATCAGTTTTTGGCTGTACGTGTATTTTTAAACATATATATATATGTATATGTATATTTATTTATTTTCCCCACCACCATTGAAATGGGAAAAATAACAGATGGAGAAACAGGAAAATGAGAAAGTGCTGATAGTACTGAAGAGAACTGAAAATCATACTTGTATAAACATTATTTATCTTGGAGAACCAGGTTCCTTGCATTTGAGGTAAGCACAAACTTTGTGTGTTCCTTATATAAACGACATATTTAATAGTTTTCACGTAGGGCACAGTGCCTGAAGTTCTTTCCAACAAGCTGGAAACTTTGTGACATATAATAGATGTTATATATCTGCATAAACTTTTTTTGTTTATTCAGTAGAGTACATGAACTCTCTTACCTTCATTTTGACCTTTGCACAAGAAGCAAAACTCTCCTTACAGCCTTTGTGAACAATTGCATTGCAGTCTGTCAAAAGTAAAAAACCCAACCAATTAAACAAAACCACACAGAAAACAGGTCAGTTTTCACCATTTGTAATCTGAACTGTTAATTTACACAACTGAGAATTAGAACTTCCAAGTATCATTGTGGTTTACACGAGTAGCTACAAATACTGAGAGACAGGCTCCTCTCCAGGATAATTAGCCTTTTGTTTGTTAATAAGATTTCCTCAAGGAATTTAACAGGAAATTCTGTTTAAAAATCAATGCAAGGTTGAGCTGCCAGGGGTCTTAACCAGTGGGTCTTAAAGTAAAGAAAAAAAAAGGAAAGAAAAATGATGGCATTATTACTCTGAAAGTAAGGTGGAAAGCTGAAGCAGGAGATGGAAACAGAAACCAGTTGTAGGGTCAATATTTTCTCTGAGAACACAAATACTGTTCTCATCAAAACACGGACTGTGAGATCCAAAAGACAGGAAAATTCATTTACACAAACTCAGACATCACAGGCAAGATCTACAGCACAGAAACCCACAGGGTTTTACTAAAGAGTTACCAGAAGAAGTAACAGGACCATGTGTCAGGTGACCATGTCCGGGAGGTTGGGACTTCCTGCTGAAAACTGCACTGAAGACACCGTTTTGGTTGGAAACCACAGCACCCACCAGTCCAAAGACCATCATGCTTTAAACCCCAGCCTTTGCTGCTTACACGCCAGAGCAAAAGCTATGTGGTTTTTTGGAGTCTGCCCATGATCTCTGCCAGCAGATTTCTGGGAAAGGATGATTAAAACTACTTGGGTTTTTTTTCCATAATAATTGATAATACGGTTTGAGGCTGTAACTCTTTCAGCAGATAAAAGATCACAACTCAAATGCTCTCAGATGAGATTCAGTAGCTTAGAAAAAATTATTTCCACTCATTCATGAAAACACTAACACAGATAATGAATTGTACTTTATATGTAAGCGTAAAGTTCAGAATTATTTCTTGAAAAAATAAGAAAGGAAAAAAATGTCCAGAATGACAATATGTGCTAACATTCCTAGTATTTTTTACATTTAGGCCTACTTAACAAAAGCCAGTAATTCTGATATTTTGACAGAGATAAGGGTAAGGCTATAGGGTGTTCCTATTCTGTCATCTCACAGTTTCCTGTGCAAGAAAGACAGAACAAAGAAACCTGCGTGTTCTTGCAGAAACCCACAAGCACTATCATTTTTTCAGATCGAACAAGGAAGTGAGGCAGAACCTGCTTCTGGTGCACAAAGACAGGCAGCAAGACAATTCAGAATCATTAAATTCACACTTCAGGCCTTGAAAGCCTGAAGGCAGCTCTTTAGTATGTATCATTTGGTAATACAACATCTGGATTTTTTAGATTGAAAAATCTGGTTTCAGGGACTTTATCTCACCTATTCAACTCTTCAGCAGGCAGGAAGTTCCTCCATTAATATTTAATAATATTATTAATATTAATAGTATTAATAATTAAAACCCCCAAAAGCTTATTTTCTGCATTACTGATAGTAAAAAAAAAAATAAAAAAGACCAGGCAGGAAGCTATTAAAAGTTAGGCTTTTTTGCTTGCCCATTTGTTTCACAGTATTCTCAATCTTTTAGCATTGACTAGCTGTTTCAGGAAGCTGGGGGGGCATCACTGAAAAGCTGAGACATTGTTTTAAAATAATCCAGTGCTTTAAAAGGCATTAAGAAAGAGCAGTGGATGCTCACTAGTTTGCAACAGCACAGGAATAACAGAGCCTCTGCTGCTGGTTATCCACAATTTCCAAAGCATCTGATAGTTGATTTTAAGATGCAACAGGAGGAAGGAGCACTCTCAGATGTGAGATTTCAACCTGGGCCCTCATCAAACCTTCCTCATGGCATTCGTTTCTTGTCCAATGCAGAACAGTTACAATAATTCTCCATCATATCTTGGAAATAAGGAAAGAACACCTATGCTAAAACATATGACACTGTTGGGTTATTTTAACTCATTAGAATATAGAGAAAATTAAATTGGGATATATTTGACTTTCTAAGTGGCTTCAGAAACCAAAGAAAGTTGAGTGGGGAAAGGGAGAGAATGCATTTGAGAGCTTATAACTGTTGATGTTTTCCATTTCCCATCAGGCTGACACAGAGTGTGTTTCATGCAAACAACTTTGCTGAAATCTCTTCCAGGAAACTCGGAACTGCCATTCGGGATTCAGCTGGCTGCCCCTTCCCCTGCTCACATCTACCAGGAGGAACAGAGGACTCCAGCCTGGGAGCAGTTCCCATAAATGCTTTGACTTATCTCTAGGCTAGTGGAGTAAAAAATTACTAATAGTGAGGAAAGAAGAGCCCTGAGCTGCAGTGGGAAAAAGACATTTTTGTCTTCATATTCTACAGCTTTGGGCAGCACTCTGGGCTCGACCACACAAACTCTGCTGACCTTATCAAGCTACAGGCATGAGAAACTGTGTGATAAGAAAAGAGAACAAAATCACTAATCTGGCAGAAACCCTCAGATGTATTTCCTGTCCTGCCTGGACTGTAGTGCACGTACCTCACACACACACAGGTAGTTGCCATTTGACCTGTGATGCAATTTCTTGTAAAAAGGGAGAAGAGGGTGAGTATTTCCTTTCTGTACCATGTGGTTCTGACCAACGGCTCAGCGAAGCAGTTCAGAGAACTAAAGCAATACACTACAGATGAGTGGGACTTTTTTTTCCCTTTGGAAGTAAAAGCCATGATCCAAGCCAGCTGTCCCTGTCCTTTGTCCATCTTATCAAAGCAGCTCAGGCCCAAGCCATAACATGCAGCTGAAATAAACAAAGTTCTCCAGCTGACTGACACAGCCCAACAAGGGGTAGAAAACCCCGTGGGATGCTGTGATGGCTGAGCTCAAGCTTGGAATGAGGTTGCAGGACACCTCCATGCAGCCACAACTCATTTCAGTCCAGTTTCCACAAGGCAACATGCTGCTGCTCCATGAATCACTATCTCCAAAGTCTCCCTCCCACCCATCATCCTTAAGGAAAATGAAAAGAAGGCGTAAGGTTCGCATTTTCCATGTCAGATTCAATGAAAAACAAAAGGAAGGGAGGGAACCTCCCCTGACTTACTTGCACAGTAGTACGAATCCTTATTGAAAGGCTTCATACAGTGGTAACAGGTTGCTTGGGCTACAACAGAGGTTGCAGTGAAGAAATGTCCATTTGACTGCTTCTTATCTTTTTCCTTCTCCTTGGAATCTTTGTCCTTCTCTTTAGTCTTCTCTTTATCTTTCTCCTTTTCCTGCAGAGAGAAAATGACCAAAAGCCTCGTTACTCTGCAGAGGTCTATTCTCTAGTTACAAATTCCTCAGTGTTTGCCTTTGGCACTGCGACGATATCGACCAGTGCACACCTCAACAATGGTCATGTGTCTGCCCAGCTCTCCCTTACAAAAACCACCTTACAGCCCCCATGGATGTGGATTTACATACTACTGACTCACAGATGTCTCACCAGCAGATATGAAACTCAGTCTGTTCTAAAGGAAGTTATTTTCTTTCACCTCTGTTTTATATTTGTTGGTTTAATGACTTTACCTCTTTTCTTCTTCTGGGCTCTCATCAGCCTCTTCAGTGCTTTCAATGAATTATGTTCAATACAAACACTACATGCAGTGTGTGTCAAATTTTCAACACAGTTAATTTTTAAGGCCAACCTGTAAAGCTTGAGATTTGCAACTGCATTTTTAATGGAGAACACAAGCTCTTCCTCAGTGCCTGTACAGCCTCACTGCCTCTGAGGCTCTGTTTTCCTTCCAACTAGCAACTTCTTCAATAGTTACATGCAACCCCAGGTAATCATGTGAAGCTTTTTGGGAAAATGGATCTTTTACATTCTTGACATATGGCACCACAGAAAGGCAGAGGAACAACAGCAACGCCATAAAAGATACTCTCATCTTCACAAAGCACAAGCCACAGTTCAGCCTCTGGGCTACTCAGCTTTGGAAAGATGACAAGCACAGCCACCTTATCCAACTTTTAGCAGAGTTTCTGCTTACTTTTCTATAGCTACCTTAGATAGAAAATACTATATACTAAAAATTTGAAACATTTTCCCCTGCAGCCTTTCATGGATTTGGAATTCTTCCAAACAATTTTTAAAGGAAACTCCACAGAAAAACTCCAAATTTGAATTACAGCGACTCCTTGTCTTTCTGTGTACCAACCTATAACACGTTTACCATAAGATTCAGCTGCAGTTCTGTTAACTGTTACTGTGGATTTCCTGGCATCTGAAAGAGAAGCTTAACCAGAAATTGGTAAAGGCTTCTGTGACCTTATCTTTGCATTTTGTTATTTATATGCTATGTGTCGTCTGCCTAATATTGTCACAGCCTGAATATCAGAGAGCTGCAGAGCAGCCCATGTGAGCAACTGCCATGAAGTGGTTAAAAGAGGTCTGCAGTCACCCGCAGGGAAACTGTTGAGCTTTTGATGACACACTCAAATAATGAGTAACTCAGCCTAAGGACTCTCTTCTCCCAACACTTCCCAGGCAAAATGCCCAGTGTCGGAGTCTCTCCCTGTAAAGTGTCATAAACAAAAAGTCTATTTACTGGCCCCAAATGCTATTTTGTTCTGCAAATAAGCAAAACTAGGAGCATTACCATATGGAACAATCCTGTCTGAAGCAGAAAACCTGCCAGGAAGAGTCTGTGTTGCATCTGTGTTGCATCATATCTCCGCCTCCTTTGAGCCATCAGCTTGGCTCACCACCCCACAGAAACCTCCACAGTCCCATCCTCCATCCACTGACCTGCCCACCTTTAACCATGTCCAGCCTGGCAGGATTCAAGAAATTAAACTGCAGTTTAGGCCTTGGCTGATGGTATTAAGCCGATGCCTGGAGTTTTGCTCTATTGCCAAGTCTTGTGAAGCTCCAGAGAAGAAAAGATCACTCTAAGCTCAGGGCAAATCTTGTGACTCTCATGATGAAAGGAGATTTCCCATCCTATACTTTAAACCTACCTGATGTCTACTGCAAAGCCCAGTAATTCTGAAGTCTGGAATAATACCCTGCCTTCATGAAAATTACTGTAAAAAACATTTTAATTAAAGCTGAACGACCCCAGAAAAAACAGGAAATGGGTGCACCACTTTCAAGGAGGAAACAGCACACTATGCACAGGCTGCCAGCCACTCCACTGAAGGACAAGGTCTCAAAATGAGATTTTTTTTTTTTTTCAGCTTTTTTGCTATGACAGTTACTGGAACTTTATTTTTAAAAAGGATTGTAAAAAAACAAGACCATTTTCCTGAGCTATTGGAGCTGCCAGCAAGATCTGAAGCCCGGCTCTGCGGCTGAACCGACGTGCAGGAACGGACACCCAAAGGAACAGATCTGCAACAGCAAATCCCTCCCCCAAAGAACCACGAAGCTCTTACCTCCCAGTGCTTAAGTCCTACCAGCTTCACTGTTATCTGAGGTACTTCTGCAAACCTATTCCATTTTATGGACATCCTTCCCCCGGGGGGCAGGAGCGCTGCTCCCCACCAGCACTAGCCCATCCTGACAGGCGGGAGCTGCCGGCAAGGCCAGCTGGGGGGATGGCAGGCACAGAGCAGTTGAGCAAAAGGGGGAGGGCGGGACGATTGCTGCTAACTTCCTTGAAGATGATTTTAGCTACTTTGCTGTTGCTTTCATCTTGCCCTACCCTAGCTGCCACTGCTAAAGAGAAGGAAAAAAAAATACACAGGGCAGAAAAGGACGTGATTAATCTTTTAGAAGTCACAAGTCACCACGAGACCACCCGTTTAAAAGGTAGAGGGTAGTAAATCAAACACTCTGTGATGTTTTGGATAGAAATAAAGCGAATTTTAACATACCTCAGTGTTGCTATGCAGTACTTCAGCAAACAAAGTGCTGCAGAAGATGCCCAAACAGAAAGGTTTGGTGTGTTTGCGCTCCTCCTGCTCTACACATCAGGAATATTCCCTGTCTCCTAATCCTTTCAGACACTTACAACTCCTACTATATACACTGAAACACTGTTGGTGGTATAGCACTGCCTTATTACTGCGCAAGGCAAGGAAAAAGAGAAATTACTCATGCTAATTGTCGTAATTTCTTAGAAACCCTCTACCAGAAGGGAAAAAAATGAAGTTTTTCTTTTTTTCCTGAATTGACAGAAATAGAGCATGTTTTAGACTTCACAAATGTGAATCAGGGCACGTTGCTAATGGCAAGAGATTCACTGCTACTCCCCAAACAACACCAAATACATGCCAGGCTTCTATCAGTATCCCCTACAGTTAATGTGCCAAACACCTCTTTATTTTTAAGAGGTTTTTTACATAACTGTTTACATGATTTTCCAAAAGAGTTGTAGCCATTAGGAGGCTCAGGGGTGCTTTATTTTACAGTTCATCTTAGAATGAACTGTAAAACAGTGCAGGTTTGGAGATAAGTAAAACCCAGCTGGAAAGAAGCTGAAGCGAAGCGTCCCTCCCTCCTGACAGCCCCGACAGCAGCAGAAACCAACTTCCTGTCAAACTTCCTCTTTAAAGGCTTGTTGTTTTTCTTTTTAATGCTTACCAGTTTTCCTCAGCCATAATGCTGCTGAGAAATCAGTGTTCCAAAGGATTTTTTGGTAAAAAAAAAATCATTAGGATTTTTAGGCTGGAGCCTAAAAATGTAAGGTGTTTTGTTAGGCTGGAGCCCCCAAAAAGCATGTCATGCAAACATTCCACCGTAAGCAGAGACGAAACTGTAATTTGAATGATATCCTGGCTTTTTAATTAGTAAAAATATCAGAATTGATTATCAGATGCAATTTCTGTAGTGTGTCTTATTGTGGGGATTTTGCAGCAATTCTTTATCAACACTTTCAGACGCAATCATGACATTAGTGAAATCAGCCTACACTTACTTAACAAAAGGAGAGCAAATTTCTCAAAGCAATTCTGTTGTATTTTCTTATGTGCTTTAACCAGATCTCTTATCTTTCTCTCTAGTTCTTGCTTTACAGATTATGCATCCGAAGTGCAAGAACCAGTTAATGAATTTTCAGTCTTTTTCACAGTCTGTGCAAAATGCTCCTGAACTTCTCACTGGCGTTTGCAACAGAGGTTTCTATGTAAGAAGATTTGGGGTTTGGCATTGTACTCTGCAGCAGGGAACAGCATTGTCTTAAAGCTGCTCAGCAGGAGCTCTGAGCCACTGGCACTCATGGCTTTGCATCTTTAAAGGCAGATCCCTAAAGAGGAACTGTGTGTAATTACACCTCTCGGGGGCCTTCCAACAATATTTACCAACATATTAGCTACACATCACCTAATGATACAATACATACTGCCCACGGAGAGGTAAGGTGCTCTGAGCTTCGGTCAGACAAATAAAGAGAGGTGAGATTCAAGTAAAAAACATCCAACCAAGCCAAAAAAACCCCCCAAACATATATTAAACTTAAGGGGACAATCTAAGGCAACAACTGCATGTTTGTGTGAAGTATCTAGCACTAATGTAATTATTTCTGTAACCAATATGGTTCCCAGGAAATTCAGCTGTGCTGAGCAGCACTTATCTTTCAGCAAATTAAATCCCAGGGTTTCAAGGATGGAAGAAAGGTGAAAATATAAATATTTGCCATCACCAAAGGTCACTGCTTGAGCAATGTCTCTTGCAGTGCACAGAAACTTTGTGGCAAAAGTAAAAATAAAATGAAAACCTACTACAGCCTTCAGCAGCCAGTCCTTTCTTACAGCTCCTGTCCTCATTTTATTAAAAACCTCTCGGGTTCTGTAAAAATTAAACTCATCAATCACTTCAAAGCCATAACTCATGCCAGAACACAATCTATTCTCTATAATAAATGAAGCTTCGTTTTGTGGAGAAAAGAGTGAAAACAAAGAATCAAAGAATCATTGAGTCTTCAAGGTTGGAAGAGACCTTCAAGATCATCCAGTCCAACCATCAACCCAGTACTACCACTGTAACCCCCCTAAACCACATCGCTCAGTGCCAAATCCACCACCAACCTGGGCAATCTATCCCAATGCCTGACCACTCTAACAATGAATTTTTTTTTCTAATATCTAAGCTGAATCTTCCCTGACTCAGCTTAAGGCCATTTCCTCATATCCTCTTACTGCAGGTACGGTGCACTCAATCCCCATGTCCAGATCATCAATAAGGATGTTAAACAGGACCGGCCCCAAAACTGAGCCCTGGGGAACACCACTAGTGACCAGCCACCAGTTGAGTTCCCAGAGTGTGTCCTAGGGCTCAGTTTTGGAGTGCTAAGATTTCCCATGTAGCTAGTCCCTGTTACAACACAGACAATCCTCTCCTCACAAAATACAGAAAGGAAGTAAAAAAAGTGAAGAAGAGAAAGTTGGGCAAAGACTTAAATACTACCCTATGGAAACATAGAACTGAAATACAGAACTCATCTCTGCTGCCTATGGGCATTTTGTGGCTGCATAAATCACAAGAAGCACTTACTTTGCTCTTCTTGCTGCTGGACATTTTATTCCTGAGGTAGCTGAAGGTGCGACTGACTTTCGTTACACCTTTGCCAGCGGGGACACTGCTGCTCTCTTCAGATATGCTACAATCAGAAAAGAAAAAGGGTTGCTTTTATTTTTTTTTCATTTCCCAAAGCATCTATTAAATGGATAGATTTTTTTTTTTTAAAGGAAAAATGCATTTATTAGCCAACAGGGTCAAAGGTTGCTTTATGGTGTTGTACCAGAGAAGGAAAAGTGAAGACAAAATGCCAATCCAGTTCCTTTGAGTTAAATTTCAAGGAATCCTCATATCTGTTTTTAAGAAGGTCTTGACATAGCACCCTCTGCTGCTCCCCTGGTCAAATAACAGAAACCATTGATACTTTAAAGAGCAATCTCCTTCCAGAGAAAGGCATCTAATGAACTCTGAAAAGGCAGTGAGTGCCTTTAACAGAAACCACACTGCCTGCAAAGCCTCCCCTGAGAAATGAGAATACCAATACTAAGTAATAAGCAACAATGGTTATATGGATTAATTTAGGCATTTTTAGGATGCCAGTTATTTTTTGCCAGTTTTTACGTGCACAAGCTTATGACTTCAGCTACGGTGGAAGAATAAGGAAACTACTATTGCATTAAAGGACACAGTCTATCAATAGGAAGTACAACACAAACCAAAAGCAGAACAACAGAAATATAAATTAAATCAAGGAGCAGAAAATAGCAGCAAGTAGAGGAGAAAAGCCTCCCAGTCATGAAATAAAGCTGAAGCCATGAGAGCCACAGAGACCAGACACCCAGCTCCCTTGGTGCCACAAACATCCTTCCTCTGGGGAAGCACTTTTTTTAAAGACACCAGGAAAATTATCTCGTCTGCACAACTTGCAAGGATGAAAAGTAACGTACGAAAACACGATTGTTTTGGCCTTTGTAACAGAGATACAGACTGAATTAGCCACAGGGAGGAAGAACTACTTTCAGTGTAAAATATAACTCGGGGTAAACTGATGTTGTGCGACAATAGATAATCTGAAGTTATTAGCTATGCATAAACACAAAGCCTTGTTAGAAATGAGACCTAGAACAGACTTTCACATTCTACGACCTAAAATATTCTTCAGCCTTTAGACACACGAGATTGATGTTCACAAATCTGACAACTTCTGATTCCAGCTGGAGTGCACCGGTGCCAGGAAGGCTTTTGGGTGTCCAAAGCAGAGCCCAGTGCAGGAGCCCCATCAGAAGAGAGCGGTACCCCCAGAATACTGTACCTCTGAACTGAGGAGCCCGTGGAGCCACCAAACGACTGCGTACCTGGAAAAGATCGGAGGGGTGGGGGGTGACATGTTAGACTGCAATCTTAGCCCACTGATCTTACAAAACACAGTTTGCGTATTTGGACAGTTCAAGAGGAAAGGGAAATGCTTTCCAGAAGTGAGTGTTTAGAATAGATTTCATGTGCTCGGGATAAAGCCTGTTCTCTGTATCCTTAGCTGCTCTCAAATTAGATGCTGAGGTGAAAGCCTGCTTAGTATTTTTATCAATCTTCAGCTATTAAGCAAAGGCCATGCAACTGTTAAACTTGCTGGTAAATCAGGCTGTCTGAATCAGAACTGCCAATTCAATGACAATAGGTATAAATGAGAATGATTCTGCCACAATGCCTTTATTTATACACCACTAGAAAGAATCCATTGTACAACACATCCGGGTTTCATGCATAAAACTTTTCTGCTTGATAAAATTATAGTTCATTTTCCCATCAAAATCCTGAAGCACTTCATAAAGAATAAGGGAAACAAGGGAAGCCTTATTCTGTTTTCCACAAAACGTTACCAGCCTGGGGCTTCATCACAAAACACCACTTGAGGAAAGGCTGAATTTCAACATGAAGCTGAAGCCCTGCCAATGGCACCAGTTCTCTTTATACCACAAGAAACCTGCTTGCACAATGCATTTGGAGCAGATTTGGGAGCTGACACCATTTACCAGAACCATCGAAGAACACTGAAATGATCCAGGACACAGGGCTCTCTCTGGAGCAACGGGGTCTGCCAGGACTCTGAAAAACCCTCATACAAGCCCTGTTTGCAGCCCTTTCTGAAGTTCAAGAAGCAGCATGACTGTCACCTTATTAGGCTTCTGCATATATACTGTAAGGAAAATAGTATTTTGGTTCAAATTCTGTTAACATATTAATGCTAAGGGTGAATGCAAAAGAGCTACTTGCCATCAGAGGCAAAGATGGTCCTTTATCCAAAAGCAGTAAGTGCATTAGGAAAAACTGTGCATACAATATTATGCTTTAAATACCGATTTTCTAACCACCCGTTCAAGTGCCAGCACAGACAGAAATATCATTTCTTCATATTGAGAAACTAAAATACAGGCATACCCCATTACCCAGTCCCTGCTTGGGGATCTGTGTTAATGTTTTCCTTGCAAAATCTTTCACCTCATTAATGATCTATCCCAAATACATCAAAGTTAGTAATACTGTAACATATACAAAATGAAGTCTACTATTTAATTTCCAATAGGGGATGTTATATTTTTATATAATATCCACTACCTAAGCACCTACTAAGATCACACAAGTAATTTACAGACTCCAAAATCCTTGGCTAAAGCTTCAGCGACTCTGGTTCACATTTCAGTTCTAGCTTGCTTTTAACCTGAGTTAAGCCCCCTTAGTATTTTCTTTTTTTAAAATCAATTAATCAGTTTGACTGGATTTAAGTAGTTCACAAACCTTTTTGTTTCTTTGCAATTAACATAAGAAATATGAAAAATGCTGAACCAAGAGCTGTAATAGTTTGATATTTGTGACTGGTTTTCAGCACCTGGAGAAAGTATGTTGCATGGGAACTTCAGTTATGTATCATTTATCTTTTATTACATTAGTGTTTTATCATAAAAACGGGGGATTTTTGATCCAGGCAGGCAAAGTGGGTCCAGACAAAAATCAAGGCCTGTTTATGATTTTATATCTCAGGTTATAATATAACATCAGATAATCAGTGCTGCTGCAAGCTATAAAACCCATGAAGACAAGCACAGAAAAGCACACATCTTCTCATCTTCAGGTTTGGTTCTGAAGTATAAGAGGGGAAGGAAGATTTATTTTCACAACTTTTTTGTTTCCTGTCACAACGAGGATCAAAACTGAAATGCTAAAACCAACCTCACAACCCACAAAAAAAAAAAAGGGTGGTTTTTTTTTTTTTTTTTTTCCCCAAAAGCCAGAACTGCTATTTATGTCCAATGAATCTGGGCTAGCAGCCAAATTTTGGCATATTTATGTGAACACCTTTTAAGCATCACCCACCAAAATTATTTCATATGGTAGCTGGACTTGAAATAATTTATCAAGATCTGTTATGCAGAAAGCAGTGACTGGATTAGGATGTTGCAAACCAGCTCCCTAATTCTATAATTTAACTTTCATGAGTCAAGAAATACAAAGGCTCCATAATAATTATCCAGCCACCTGAAATCCAAGTCTTAAATATATCATATCATCACAAAAACTGCAACTAATCCTCCACACTCTAGACAAAAACAGGCATGGAGAGGTTGAGGAGCAGTAACTGAAATGCAAATGCAATCTCAATGTTAACACATCTGTCCTTTTATGAGAAATGAATCCTGAAGATGTGAAAAAATAAACTGATCTGGGAATACTACATGAAAAATGCCCACTGCCCATTGTCTTATGAATAGCTGTGGTTAAACTAACCTTTATATAAAGTCACCAAAGCACCCTCAAATATGAGGAAATAAAACACATATAAAGAGACCAACATTTTTGATTGAGACAATATCTGATGTTATTTTAAATTATCATCATTAGCAGGAGCACTGTTGGAGAAGAGAAGGCAAATACTGGCTAACATAAATATCCCCTAAAATTGTCATACCCTAACCTACTAAATATTACTAAATGGGTTGGATGCTTAAAACAAAAAAAAAACCCTAAATAAAGTAATAAAAAATAACCCAAACCCACACATACACAAAAAAACCAACGAACCCCCAAAAGAACAAAACTCCCCAAACAAAAACAAACAAAAAAACTAAAACCAAAAAACCCAAACAAATAAAAAAACCTAACAAACAAAAAATTCCAAATCCACCAGAAAGTTTAGCTGAGGGTAGGTTTTACTGTGGAGCATCACACTGATGCACAGCTGTATCTTTACAGTTCACTTTGTGGGGTCTATGAATTTTGCGTTTTGTTAAAGGCAGAAGAGAAGAACAGAGCAAAGATGAAGGAGCTTAAATATGGAAGTCAGTAATCCCACACCTGGGCACAGGACTTTCTTAAGGAAGGGACAAACCCACAGGGAAGACTAGGAATGGAAAGGAGGAGACCTTAGATACCTACAACACGGATGGTGTTTTAGATTGTGGTGTTGGAGATTGTTTTAAATTCAGGAAGCAACCAAAAATGTGTTGGATGGGAAAGCAATTTCCCCTCATTCCAGTATGGACACAAGGAATGTGTCTGGTTTATTTCAACAGTCTAATAAAACATGCTTAAGAAATAGGAAACATTTTTAATTATCTTTGATAAGCCTATTAAAAAAGCCAAGAGGAGTCTAAATTACTTTAATTCAGTCTTCAGCCTCAGTTGGGTTTCTTTTAGTAACAGTTCGCAGGAGGAAAAAAAAGCTACCGGATCACTCTTGCCCATTTCCCACAAAACTACTCTGATAATAATATCAGGACCTAGATATGAACACGTTGAGGATTTAAGGTGTTTGACTGCAATGTGTGCTTTTTGCTTAGGAGGGGAACTGTGAATTTGCCACCAAGATTTTCAGAATTTAATAATCAGGGCTTCACTCCACTTCTCTTTCACTGAGCAATGTACTCGCTCTTACCCAGGAAGGGCAAGGACCTACCTCTACTGCTAACTCCATGTCCTGTAACAAGCTCAAGGCAAGTTCTTTTAGTTTTAATAAAAAGGTAAAGATTATATTGCTGGTCAGAGTGGCAGGTGATATTTGCCACTTGGATACAGACCAAAACTAACTGGATGAGACATGATGGTGCTGACGTACAAGATTCTTTGGATTATAATCCTTTTATTCTGCCATCAGCTAGTATTCAGATACAGGACTAAGATAATGCTGTTAGACATCACGCAATGGAAAGGTTAGTTCAGTGTTTGCAAGGTGAAATTCCAAGGTCTAAAGCAGAAAACCAGATTTCCCTTTGTTTCCACCCATAATGGCTGCAACGCACAGAAAACGATTACTTACTATCCAACTCCTCCTCCTCATCACTGGAAGAAGAGCCAATAGAAAAGAGAGTTTTAGACTTAGGAATGAGTGGAGAGATGCTGAAGGAGAAGGAGATTCGTCTCGATGGTCGAGTCCGGCTCTGGGCTGAGAAGTGGGTTAACAGCAGACATTAGAGCATGCTTGAAAATGCATTTAATAATAAAAAGGAGAGGAAAGCGGCCAAAGCAAACTAAAACGAAAGCAAAGGAAATGTCTGCAAAGCAGCTGGCTCCAGAAAAGGCACAAGAAACAAAGAACTGAGAACATGCAAACTCCATAAGGTGCAGGTTTCAGAGGACGCAGGTCTCACTGCATGCATAGCTTGAGGTTCAAGGCTTTCCCTATTTTTGCTGGTATCTTTTTTTATAGGACCTCTTAATGAAGACTTATATGCAAACAGTTATTTTCCCAAACAGAATACCAACAGTAAAGTGGGCCTCTGGACAAGGGGCATCAGCTTCACCGAAAGAACTGCCAGGGAATCAAATTAGAACAACTCAAGATATTTGTTTGAAGGTGTTTTCTACAGTTAAATGACACAGCAAAGTTGCCAGATATTAGCAAGGACAGTTTATCTGAAGTGCTGACATAATCTATCTGGGAAGGTTCTTGCCACTTCTATCTCCTCTAAAAAAAATCCCCAAATTTTGATAATGTTACGCCCTTCAAAATTTCCACCTTTGAAGAGGAGACACTTAAGCTTCCTCTCTTTTCTTCCAAAATAAAACAGAAAAAACAACCATCTCTTCTGCTGCCTTCTAAAACTCACAGTCCTTGTTTTAAAGAAACTGCCTAAACATGAGAAAAGCTCCTCTGCACCCTATTCTGTCCTTGTCTGGAAGATGCCTACCAAACACAGTGCCAAACTCAGCAATCAGTCTGTGACATCAAATCTCCCACAATTTATTTTTAAGAGCAAAACCTTGCATAGCAGCAGCTTTGCAACAATTCTTTTTAAGTACACTCTTCTCCAAAAAGAGATGCAGGAGCCAGATTGTCACTCTTCACTGAAAGTGGTATTCCCAAGGGCTGTATTTTCCAAACCTTTTCTTCATACCAGCACAGGTGGAAACCTCTCAGCTGTGACCTGATTGCTGGATACCCATCACTGACATGGGGATCAGTGTGTCCTTGGGAAAGATGACTGGGACAGCGTTGGAGAAACTCTGCCTCTGAGACAGGTCTGACCTAAGGGTCCTACTTAAGCATCTACATTAAACATCTTCAGTGCATATATTCAGTCACTTCAAAGTCATTCCACAGATAAATCAATTCACTTGCACAACAGGGAAAACAGGCTAAAGACTTTATCAGCATTAAACTTCCAAGAGAGAGAAGAAGCAATTATTGCTCTCTTTGAATAAAACATGTCCTTTCAGCCACACACAATGAGAATTTTTTGCATTGCTGATATCATACGCCAATACTGAATTCAGAATATAAAAAAACTGTCCGAGGAATATCCAATGCAATGCAAGCAATGCAAAGCAAACTCCCCAGAAATTTTCCTTCAGCCATTAATCATAAATGCCAATGGTCCAGAGGCAATTTGACTAGAATGTGCACACTTTTCCAACATAAGCAGAACAACCCTAGAGGGACTCAATATAAGGCATTTAAATTGAAGAAGTCTTAGCAAGACTGATGCATTAATTTTGTTTAGACTGCCTTTCACAGGAGTTGTTTTAGTGTCCCAGACCTGAAGAACATTAGGCAACACTGCTTTTTCTTCTGTAGTTTACTGTCTATTTAGACTAAAAGTCAAGATGAACAATAATACTTTACTGTAAATTGAACCACCTTCTCCAGCACAGTTCTACTTCCATTTCAGTGGTTTTATTTATAGCAATTCCTGGCTTTATAACAGTGCTCCACACTGGAAATTTGCTATTCCAAGGCCGAAAGCATTCTTCCGAGCACTCCAGCCAAGAGCTCTTGTGACCTCCCTCTATAAAATGCTGAAGGATTAACAGTTGTGAATGGCCACAACAGCTCTTGGAACATCTGAGAAATCAGATGGGAGTGTGGGATAGAAATACAGTCTTGGAAACTGCTCCTGCCTCAGCACATGTGACAATAAATGGTAAAAATAAGAGAAATTTCTCCATGTATTATTAATTTGGATTTAGTTTTTAAAGTTTTTGTGCAAAGCACGTTGCTATCTTCTCATTCAGACATAGTTGTAGGGATCAGATGTTTGGGTTTTTTTATTTTTTTAACACCTACCACAAAATTATGCAAAATTATTTCCATGAAATCAATTTTTACTCTTGCACAACTCTGAAGTGTTCTGCTGAAGTAACAGGAATGTCAAACCCCAGTGATACAAGGAAGTTTATACACTGAGACCTTCTAAAGGCACTAAAGCTACTTCACCTGTCATATGGTCACAATTCAAGCAACACTATTCTTCTTTCAAAGTGACTGAGGAAGAATGAAGTAAAATCATAGAATCATAGACTGGTTTGGGTTGGAAGGGACCTTAAAGATCCAATCTCCCTGCCATGGCCAGGGGCATCTTCCACTGGACTGGGTTGCTCAAAGCCCCATCCAGCCTGGCTTTGAACACATCCAGAGATGTGGCATCCCCAGCTTCTCTGGGCGATTTACTGAAGGTTTCTGAAGTCAGGAAAGAGTCAGGACTGGGATGAGAACCCATGATCTGAATTTTCAAATGATTATTCCTTTTGGATGCTTACATCAACCCTTCAAATGCATTGATTTTCAAAACCACGTTCCTATAAAAATGAGGCTCTTCTGAGGAATCACAAATTAATGACTGAGAAAATAAAGCCCACAAGAGTGTTTGTAATTTTTAAGCTCAGCATCCCAAACTCACAGACATCTGCCTCAAAGCAGAAGATTAATCCTGCTATTTCTTCCACAGCCCCTCTGGAGAGCTTACTACATCTTCTCTTTCCCTTCTGTCTCCATGGGACCATGGTGCCTGGGCTGGCTCTAGAAGAAGATGGAATAATCAAAGCTGCCTACCACCAGCTCTCAGGCCTCCATGGCATTTTTAACGTAGGTCATAGGACAGAGAGGAGCAGAAAGGCAGCAAGTTGTCCAATTCCAAGACGGAGGCACAAATCCTCCACTGTCATAAACCCCCACCGTGGGCCTGAAGGAAAGTGTCCAGGGAGAGGGGGACGAACCTCAGCCGTCCAGGCTCCCTCAGCCACCAACACCGCGTTTTTGGGGAGCAAACAGGGCTATTTATGGTGTCTGGTCAGCGGTTGGGTGCAATGCCAATAAATTGGCTTCTCCAAAAAACAACAATGAAGGCCTTCACCCAGGGAGGGGAGCGGGAAGGCAGGATCTGGCCTTGGGCGGGACAGAGCTGCCCATGTTTTGGTTACCGTTGCTGGGGGACACATCCGCTGGGGCTCATTCTTATTAATCACGGAATAATCATGGTGAAGAATTTAAAAATGTCTCCTACAAAGCATAATCCCTGTGAGCTTCCTCGAGCAAGCCTGCTCCGTGAATAAAACTCCTTTCTTAAAGCACCTTTGCCTTGTTCAGCTTTGCAAGGAAGAAACATGTTAATCAAGAGGAAAGATCAGAGACCATCACTAATTGATGTGAGCTAAGATGTCAGTTTGGTTTCTGGCTGGCAATTAATAAAATGAAAACATGTGTAACTCAGCCCTTTCTAAGCACATCCAGCTGCAGCCTTCTGAATGACTTTTTCAGCTGAAAGAATCAATTCAGTCAAGTTGCAAAATTGAGTGCTTGTTATCACTTCAATTAAGCTAAACTGGAAAATTTCATAGAATCATCTTTTATTATTTTCTTCAGGAATGAGATTCAATAAATTACACCCAACTGCTCCAAAATATTTAATTCAAAATGAATAGCAACAAACTACCCAAAGGAGACCAAGACATGGATTCTCAAGTTTCCACGTATCAACTTTCAAAAACCTAGATGTAGGGAAATAAGATATCACGTGGAATTTGCCTGACATCAATGGAAGAAATTCTGAAAGGATGTAAAATTAAATCCTTTTTTTTTTTAAATAACAAACTCAATTTGTACCAATAGTCTAATTTAAGAAAAAAAAAACCAAAAGAAACCTAACACAAAGAAATACTAAGGATATACTGGGAAAAACTAAACTAAACTGACTGAGTTCTGCCTTTCCACCCACAATTCCATTCAGCGGCGAAACATATATTTCACATAATATAGGAGAGCAAGAGCAGCTACTAGCACATTCTGCCTTGGGAAGGTAGCAGGATATACTCAATAATACAGATGACAGCGTGGATAAGAGAAAACTGTGTTACTCACTGTCGAGCACTGGCTTGCTAATTGACATTAGAGACATGGATTTGGTCAGTGGAGATGAAGCAGCAGAAGAACAGAAATTAAATCCTTGTGGCTGCGATGTCTGACGCGCCTGCAGGACAGAAAAGAACCACACTGAGTAATTATATAAAGAACAACAGAACCATCCCAACTTCAGATCCCAGTTCAGTGTTCACGTTTACCGAAATTCTCACTTTGAAAAATTTAAACAATCCCACAATAAGATAATAGGTGAGAAAGTCAAGTACCACGAAAAATGTAATCAGTGTTGCACAGGTGAAATGCAACATTTTGTTTTGTCTTTTAAGTGTAAGACAACTAATTATGCAACAGAGAGAGACTCTGGCTGCTTGATTTTCTTGCAAGATATTACAAGAAACATATTGTTAACTGTCTGACAGCCACTGAAATTACTGTGACTCCAACTCCTCGGAGTAACTTGACTGTGGTTCAACATGGTAGAAGAAATCTGATGCTTAGCAGTGCGTACCCCAAAAATGCCATTCCCCAAAGCAAAAGAAGATGTGAGAGTTGTGACATTACAGCTCGACAGGCCAGATCCTGTAAGACCCGTTTACTGCCTTGATGTACAGCAGTGACTTTATCAGGCAAACAGACTGGATGGTTAATGATTCTGACATGAACCCAGAAAATACTATGGCTGAAAGTTCCAACTCAAAAATCCAGGGTATTTATAGTATTTAAAAGAATAATTACTTCTTTAATAACAATTAACAGGGAGTCTCATAATATTGTGGCTCATCTGTCCTTAACAGCTATCATAGACTTCTGTTCCAGAGAGGTTACTTCATATTTTCTTAATATGCAATTACCATTTTTCTTTAATGAAACTTTTTATTCTGATTAAACCTATGAAAGAAAAAAACTTTATTTTCCTCCTATGATACAAAAATAAACCTGGAAACTTTAGCAGATAAATCAATACTTGGTACGTGTGTGTATTTCAGGACTGCAAAAGGCAGCATAAGCATTAATTGCAGAAGAAATTTTTCATTCAATCAACACCTTTGATTGATAGAATCACTATATCCATGCTAAAAATTAAATAACTTTTCCATAATTACTCACGCAATTGGTGGAAGAAAACTGAGAGTTTTCTTGTTCTCACCCTAAGACTTTGCCCATCAACCATGTTGTCCCAAAGAACCAAACAGCAAACTTAACACAGATGGAGATTCCTTCATGTTAAAGATGGAAGATTTTTAATTTTTTTTTTTTATATATATATATATATATATGTATACACACACACATACACATATAGGGTGGAAGCTTTTGTGAGACTGTCACTTGGGAAAATTACTTTTAAAATGCTGATGTAGCATTTTGCTGACATCTAACAATAGCTGGACAGTTTTACCTGGTGACCATAGTCTCTGATTTCTCCTTGCTCTTCAGTGAGCAGGACCAGTGACCCACACTGATTGCTGGCAAGTGGACTCCGCCTGAGGTCTTTGGAGCTCAGGGAAGAAGCCTCCAAGTTTGTAGAGGGCTTCTTGTTCTCACCAGAGTCTCCAGCAAGGCCTTCTAGGCTGTAACTAAAGAGAAAGCACAGAGGTTAGATGCTGACAAACTCCTGGAGACCAGTGTCTTTCAGCACAGAGCACCTTCACGTGTAAAACACATGGCAGTCACTAAATGAACTGTGCAGGGAAATGCATATGTTAGTGCTCAACATGTTACTTCTATTTTCTTCAGAGCAAACCACAGCACCTTTGTGCCTCTAATGAGACACAGTAGCTGCTTGAATGACCATTCAAACTCCTGGTCAATAGCCTTTCCTACTGTTTTTTTCCTATTCTTCTTGAGTGGTGCACAGGAAAATCCAGAAACACCCCTTCTAATTATTTTGGTATTTCCACTTTTTTTTTTTTTTCTAGCTTTTTACTGGGCTCTCCCTTAGAATAAAGCCACCCAAATTGAACTACCTTGTATAGCACAGTGCTGCCTGTCCTGGACCAACACCCCTCCCAGCAGCCACATCAGCTGCTGTAACATTCATCTCTGCAGCCACTGAATCTATTTTAAAACTTGCCACTGCACAAAGTTTTGGCACTGATAATGTCCTTCTTTCTGCCAAAGCTGGTTTCTTTTCTACCTTTTCTGTCATCTTTTTCTTGAATTCAATAAATGTTGTCACCCCCTCTTTCACGTGGGACTATTTAATCTGATAAATCTTGACCTAATATTCTGCTTCTGACCCTCATGCTCTTCAGGTCTGAGCATCAACAAACCCACTGAAATGCCACTGTGGGATCATGTGCAAGCTTCACAGATTCACCTCCCAGTACACGAGCACAATTCCATTGCTGATGTTTGATTTGATACTCACTAAGTCCTCCAAGGTCTACCTTGGATTTATATCCCAACCTGAGGTTAATCATGACATCTAAGTGGCCAACAAGCTGACATGTAAACAAATGAAAGGGAAAACACACTCCAGACTGTACAGATGATTTAAACAACCAGAGCAGTTTTAAATTCAGGTAGACTTGCAGAGTAGTGATTAATGTTCTGGAGTCCCTTAGAAGCATTAAGTGGTTGATAAATATGCACCTTGAAAGCAAAAATCGCAATAAACATTGAATAAGAAGATTTAGTATATTCAAAAGATTTTTTTTCATGGTAATTAATGAGAAAAAAGGCTGGTTGAAGCATTCATAATTTAATCTGCTTTAAGAAGATTGCAACTCATCAATGTGTATTTATAGCAGGCACTAAAAATTTTATTCTAAAACACCTGTAGAGAGAAATCAGCCCCATTTCTACTGATTATTTAGAGCAGAAGAATATTTTTTCTTACATTCCAAGGTGGTAACAGTGATGGTACACAGTGCAGAAAAAAATTATGTACTTGTGACAAAACCAGCTAAAAGCTGCAAATATTACCCCATGAAATAGTAATCAGTGGGTGATACTGTTCTGTAATTTGCTGATTGGAGTATATAGACCATATGTAATTAAATCTGTAATAGGAAGGACAGATTTTTCTCAATATCTACTCTTCAGAAAAAGAGTTCAATTGTTCTACCCACAACCAGCAAGAATAGCCAGAGAAAATGCAAAAAAGCTATAAAATCTGGGGGACTGGCTTCCAAGCAATATTATGTGTAAAGAGGTGACCTGCAAACACCAATCTCAACTCTGGGACTTTCTGCAGAAGATGCAATCTTTAAATGCCTGGGAAATTTTCATCTGAGGTGATCAGATTGATTTTTCACAGAGGGTTTTACATGATTAGCCTCTTTGAAGAAAAAACCAGATCTTTCAATTTACAAAGAATAAGTCTGTATGAACTTAAATCCTTTAAGAGATCTGGAACAGAGCAGTGTTGAATCATATTTAATCTTGTTCTGATTCTCTGGCTGACACAATTATCATTATGATCATTGCTGTGGAAAAAACACGGCTTAAAGTCATCACGGAGCAGAGCAGCTCAACCCAACAGTGCAGCTTCTTTAACGCTGGAGGCCAGTGAAAAGCAGCCACCACCTTCACCTGCACCCCAGCTCAGAAGATCCATTCCCAAGACTAATGGCTGAAAAAGCAGACCAAGCAAACAAACACGTGCACGCTTCAGCCAGAGCAGCGGTGGGATGCACAAAAAGCTGACAACAGGGTGCTTGCAGTGCTCCTTTGCTGCTGCACATTTATTCATACCATACCTTCTACAAGTAAAGTCAGGACCCATGGCAAGGTACTGTACGCCTGAGGGACACCAGCTCAAACTAGGAACATCAAAAGAGGTAAAGAAAGGAAAAGGGCAGTGATTATTGGATTGTTATGGAACAGGGGAATGGTAAAAGACTCTCACTTTTACATATCTTGAAAAAAAATCCCGACCAACCAACTCAGAAATAATGCAGTAGCATATGCCTGGCTGCACAAACACACCGCAGTGCCCCAAATGCCCGAGGTTACCACAACACAGGTAGCAGGACAGCCCATGCTTCCCCCAAACCAATCCCATTGGTGTACAATGTACTGGAGAAACCACTCCTCGTGGGGAGTGAAGTTTTTTGGGAAAAACATGACTGAAACATACCAAAGCCAATTCTGCACAAGTAATCACACACAGCCATTGTGTTAGTAATGATTAGTATTTTTCTGGTAACTCTCATCCTCAAATCAGAAAAAGAATCCCTTATAGATATTTAATAGTTTAAGTCCCCTCCAGAGAAGTATTAACAACCTCAGGCTACGCTTGGGAAAAATAAGGAGAGAGAGACCATTCTTAAATGCTGCACAGCAAGTCATTGAAAGAGGCTGGAAGGAAAAAACAGGTTTGTCTTACTATTAACTTGGGATTAAATCAAGAGTGCTTCTGACTAGAAAACCTTTCAGCTCCCACCCAAAAGAGTCTCAAAGTTGCATCATGAAAGACATAAGAAATGCAAATACAGTATGCAAATATTTTAGTTGTTATTTTAAACACTGCTTTTGTTATTTTTTCTCTGTCAGCTCATGGCCCAATTGCAGGTTTTGCAGACACAGAGAAATTCATCTTCCTGTCAGCTATGACATATAAATGATCCCTAAATCTTGGAAAAGCTGTCCAGGAAACATACATCGTCTGAAGGGAATTTTGCATCGGCACAGATCTGCCAGAGCAGCACTGCACAAGTCCTGCTCCCAGCCCCTGGCCTGTGATCCATGCAAGGAGAGGACATGGTCAGAGAACGCTTTGCTCCAGAACAGGAGCTTACAAAAAGGGCAAAACAAGTCGAAGTATCCCCAGGCCAGGAACCTGTGAGCGCCAGAAGCCTCCGAGGGCACAGAGGAAGGTTTAAACCCACTAACTGCATCATGTCATGCCAAGTCTTCATACAGTTTCCACACACAACACCAGAAATATTCTGTAAGGGTTTGACACTTCTGTTCAGTGGTGGAGTTCAAATAACTGCTACCTGTTTTATAAAAGATGTTAATTGGGTGAGGATACACCCAAGTGCTAAAACTGCAGGGAAGAGAAGAGCAGAGGGAGGGAAGAAGAGGAGCCATATTTATGCAGGAGGAAGTTTGAAGGTGGTGTAAGATCCCAAAGAAGGAAAGAGACCTTTTGGCAAGGGCTGTGGAAAGCACTCTTGCAGAATCACAGCCCTGCTGGGGAGCCACCCACAATCTGTTGGCAACACTATAAAAAACAAACAAGATCAATGCAGAGCATAAAAAACGCCTCTGCAGAATATAACTTAGGGAAGGGGGATGAGCTGTTACCTACATCAGCCTTGTGGGAGAGCATAAACTGTTGGAATCTGTTTCAGGCTGCTGCTCTGCAAGTGGGGTTAGAGAGGATGATATCAAAATGGTTGGGAGGCCAGAAAAAGAGAGAGGGTGCTTATGAAAGAACTGCCACACATTTCAGATAAGACTAGGGATTTTAGGTTGCCTATCTGAAACACTGTCTCCATTCTACATGTCACCTCAGTGTTTCAAGTTGGTTTGACCCTAAAAACTGACACGGCTCCTACAGAGAAGCCGTAAGAAATGACTGATAAAGAGATGTTCATTTGCATGAGCTGAGAAGACGAGCACTGCACGGCTTCCTCCAGAACACGCTTGATGCAAATAGAGTGGCTTCTTAGAAATAAAAAAGCGTGTTCTTTTTTAAGAGCTCTCTCCTGAACTGTACAGCACTGCTCGTAGGGCTTCATTTATGCTGACGCATGATAAGGCACAGGGATTTTTTTGGTCATAGTATCACTGTAACATCTTCTTCACATGTGGAAATGTGGTAGTTTGCTTGCACACACATCACGCCATCCATTTCAAGGGAAGGGAAATACTGAGTTAACCTGCCACAGGAGGAGAGGTAGCAGGCTGTGGGAGATGAGGTTGTACCACTGAAGAGGAGAGGTTAAACTGCTATATTTTCTTTAGCCTAAAATGTCTAAGTGTGGTCAGTACACATCTGCTGTGTCAAAAATTAAGTGTCCTGTTTTATATATTAATAGACAACACAAAGGTTACGTGAGTGAAAATGCCTATCTGCATTTTCCTCACGGAAGAGGATCTGAAAAAACATGAAAGTTTGCTATAGAGAAGAAAACCACATGGAAGTAAAGAGAAAAACACACCTTACTACCTATTTTTTTAGGAAGATGATTATAAAAAACATAAAAACAGCAAAATTAAAGCCATTTAGTTCAACTAGCTGCAGATCTGCAGAGCGTTCTCCAAATGTGAGATTGCGTCTGATCCATTCCCTCCCCACGTGCCCCTTCTGCAAGTCTTGCCAGGAGTCCCTGATGTGCTTTAAATCTAAATCACACACACGCTCCCAGGTAAACAATCATTTTAACACAACTCCAAATCTTACACATAGCAAAGGCCAACTAAATGATATCTGAGACTTCTCCAAGTTATTAACATATCATCCTGGAGAAAATGGCTTGGGCATGTGCTCTGTGGGGCAGAAGAACAGCTCTGAGTCAGACTGGAGAGCGAAAGCAGCCAAGCGGGATGCACACCTCTAATGCCAACACTTCCAGAGGTACTACGGGTTTACTAACATGAGAATATGGAGTTAGTAGACATACAAAGGCAAAACAGTTAGTTACATTAGTTGGCTTTGTACCTTCTCCTATGAATGGGAGGCTTCTTTATACCATCCCCCAGAACTCGCATTGAACTGAAAATGAATCATGGAGAGTGGTCAGCAGCTTGAATGGAAAAAAAATGAACAAATGGCAGCTAAGGGATTAATATCCCTGACACACAAACAGAGGGAATGGACATACAGGGAAAACACAAAATGAAATACTAAAGGAAGTAATGAGTCTCTGTGTTCCTCCTCTCTATTACAAATAAATCCGGGTTTCGGTTGTTGCATTTTGTACAGAGAGAAGGTTGCACAGGTATTGACCATGTTGCAACTTTGCTGCTGCCAAAGCCAGGTCAGTTTAAAGTTTAGATAAGGCCAACCTCTTTGACAGAAGCTGTTAGCAACAGTGATTAACACCAGCTCCAGTTCTGCAGCGCTTAATTCACCAGTGGAAAACAGCGGCGTTTCGTCCCTCGGCCGGAACGTTAAACACACTGCAGCATTGTTGAAAGACAGGCATTTCAAATCCCCTATGAATGTCAGGAATTAACTGAAGGATGAACATCCTTTTGTGGCAACCTTGTTGGTTTTCTTTGTGTTTTTAATAGCAAAATGTAGACATGAGGATTATCTGTGAAGTTCATTTGAGGAGAGAGGGGAAGCAGAGGGGAACTGAGCATCTTTTCACATTTCATTTAAGATTATTACCTTTTTTCCAGATCTTTTCTGTGAACAAACTTTTACGCTTGTCCCTCTTAAAACAGGTAACATGAACAGTGGAAAAGGCCAAATCCTAAAAACCACTGATTTTTTCCTGTAGGTTTTTTGGGTCCTGTATCAGGAGCTCTATTTCAGCTTGATTTAGCTACATATTCGTCATAAGGGGAAAGACTGGTTTTGGTGTGGATGGGGGCTGGACCAGGTTGTAAGTCCTTTGCTGGGACAGAAGGCACTTCTTAGAGCTCAATTGATGGTGCAGTCTGTCACCATCAGTGACAGACACCTCCTCCTGGCTCCACAGCCCAGTCCTAATCCTTGGTCTGGTTTTGGTGGCAATTACACTTTATTTGGTTAATTTCTGCCCATTTAGTGAGTGCACCCTGCTCACCTACAGAGCAGAGAAGTGCCATGGGTGCCCATGGGAGGGGAGAGAGTGTGGAAGGTGCAGGGAGCAGCACAGATCCAGCACATCAGCAGGACAAACCTTAGCTAAGGCTTGTGCTCTACATTACTTCACTTTAAAGATTTGCAAAAGGCAAGTTACAAATAAGGCTTTTTTCCCATTAAATGAAAAAGTATCTACTGCATATGAAATAAATGAATAAGGAAACACTCCAAATTTAACTGATTTCTATGAAAGTCACTTCTTTGTGCTTCACTTCCTCAGTATTTGTTGTTGCTCACTAAGCCACCAGAGTCTCAACATCACAACAGCCTCATGTGAAAAGAACAAGGAAAACAAGAAAACAAACCAAATAATCCAAATTCCTTTCTAACAGAAGCATAAAACCAAACAGGAACCAAATCAGCACCATAGATCCACCCAGCTTTTCTTTTTTAATTAACCTATGTGACAGCTATCCTTATGTAGCCACGGCTGTATCTGAGAACATAAGAGAACACTTACTGTTCCTTTAACTCAGATTTTCTTACATTTACAATGAATGTATTTTTCCCTTATCAGAAACAGCCTCCAAATCTGAGCAGAATTTAACCCCATCTGTTCAGTGTTAGCAGTGACTGCCAGCTATGCAGTTTATTACCCCCAGAAATCCTTATGCAACAAGTCCTACACTTAAAAATAAATCTCTGCAAATGAGTTTAAAAGCTTATGGATTCATTCTGTCATAAACCTGCACATATGTCATATGTTGACTCTTTTGTAGCTTTAAAAAGACAAGTATTACTTAATTTATGTAAATATTACCTGAGTACCAAGAATGAAGCCCCAAAAAAGGTGACAGTGGTAGAAAACAATAATAATAAATCTTTCATCCTATGTTACTCAGAGGGTCCTGAATGTTTTTCAACCTTGACTTTAAAACCTGAAGGGTATACAATATTCCCTTCCTGACACTCACCGCTCCTAATGTGTAAAGGATGCACACATTCCTGATGGGAGGCTGCTGCCTCTTCCTGGATTATCCAAACAGGTCAGTAAAAATTTACCAGGAACCAGTTGTGAGTGGCCAGTTTTAATTTAATGCCATCCATCGCCAAATGCAAAGACTCCCTTTCTGTTAAGAGCAGACCTGAGGCCATGAGGACGGCAGCAGGCAGACAAGAGAGCGGCACTGCACTGCACGCCGGGGCCTGCAGCCTCAGTGAGCTGCAGGGAGGAACCTGACCCTCCTAAACCAACTCAGTTTTAATGCTCTGAAAGCATTTAAACACATTAAAAACACTGGCCAAACCTCCACTGGATTCAGAATATGCAGGGTTTGACCTCAAGTGTCCAGCAGCCCCGATGCTGAACAGAGCATAGCAGGGAACCTTACACCAATTACTGCTTCTTGGTCTGCATCTTCCTTTACTTCATCTTCCCCACTGAGAAGGGGGACTGAGCAAATTTTTCTCCCCCAGTCACTTGGCACCAGAATTTACACACTCACGTGGCTGTTACACCTCTCCCTCTTGCATCTTCTGAAAGAACAACTGGGAAAACTACTCTTTTGAATCTTCTCGGACACCACCAGGGGCACTGGTGATGAGTTAAGTGGGACTTACTGTCCATGACAGACTGAGGTGGAACCAATTCTGTGAAACAGGGATGACCCACCTCACCACGATGAAGAGCCTCCACACCATTTTTTAAAAGCCTGTGCTATGTCTTAATACAATCAGAGCAATAATGGCCATGTTTATTTTGTGATCAACAAGATTTAACACTCCAATAATTCCCTTAGCAAAGCCCTTCATATAGAAAGGGGTGATGACAGTTCTAATGGAAGACCTGTCCCAAGGTAATTCCATTTACTCTGAAAAGCTTAAGCATACTGTAGATATTAAGTACTTTAACCCTGAACCCTGAAAGTTAATTTAAGAAAAATGAAGAAACATATGTTAGGAGATTGTCTTCAACCCTTGGAGTGAAAAAGAAATAATCAGAAGCGATGTCCGCACTCTTCTGTTTTATCATGCCAAGCCTAAAGCTCAAATAAATGTGCATGAATGGGTGTAAAGTAAATCAAAGCAGCTCTACACTCACCTCCTCTGGTTTATTTCTGCTTCGTTGGTGGCATTCTTCCCTGGTCCCCAGCTGTGCCGACGGAAAGGAGACAGTGGCCGCATGGAGTTGCGTAAGACAGAGGAATGGGTGGGCACATCTGTGATACTGTCCAGCTCCTCTTCCTTCTCTCCTCCCTCAGAGGCCACCATGTTGGTGCAGCTGCCATCCAGGCTGTGCCTGTCCTTGGGCTGGGCAAAGTTCACAGTCGGTGGGAAGGGAAGGGATGTGTCGCTGCCCAGGGATGAGTTCCTCTCCAGGGACATGGTGTCATCTGCAGAGGAACTGGAGCTGGTGACATCACATGCAGACTGCTCCTCTTCAGGCTGCTGTAGGCAAGAAAAATTAAAAATATATTAGAGTACAATCATAGAGTGGTTTGGGTTGGAAGGGACCTTAAAAGATCAGCTAGTCCAATACCCTTCCCATGGGCAGGGACATTGCTCACTAGATCAGGTTGCTCAAAGTCCCATCCACCCTGACCTTGAACACTTCCAATGAAGTGAATACATTTAGCATTTTAAATAAATGCAAATATTTTATATTTCACATGAGCTGAGAGATTTCTTAGTTAATAGCTTAAGGCAAATTAACCATCACAGAACCAAGACTTTTTGCTTTGGTTTCCAAAGAGGGTCAAATGCTCTGCAGGGTGATCTCTTCCACCCTTGGCTGCCATAACCCTGGGCTCCCATCTCAGGTCCTCTGCCTGCCTTCCTCTCCCCAATTCCACGTTTCATCCTGCACAGCAAATCCTGTTCCTCTCACCATTTCTGGCTAAACCTATTATTGATCAAGGTGCCATAAAACTGCCAAAGGTTTACTGAGAGTGAGTAATGGGAACTGGGTCATCACAACTCCTGATGACAAACTCCAGACTCTCCTGTGAGACCGCCATCGGCTTGTAGAGCTTAAGGCCAATGCACTGTTCTACTGCATCATGCAGCACAAAAGGGACAATTACTCACTAGCAGAAAACAGACAGAAAAAAAAATAAAAGCTTAAATCCCTGTCCCCTGCTACTTTCCATTAAGCAGAAAGTTAATACCAGGGTTTGCAGTACTTTTCAAATCCAACTGTAATTAAAAAAAAATATTCTACAGGATCAGCCACCCTGTATTACAGGTCTCGAGTCATACTGCAATTTTTGGGTTTAGTTTGCTCAAAAAACAGTATGTAGAAGCCAAATTGGTTCTCTTTGGCCCAAGGCCACACGCTGACCATACAGCCTGAGAAGAGCCCGTGTGCATTCTGCATTCCCCGTGGCTAACATAAAAAACACAAGCATCTCTCTGACATCACCTCCAGTCTGAAATGGTGTTTGCCCTGAGGGACCTATGTGGGAAGTTTCAATTTATCCTCCTGCAGAGCCCCGTGCTGTATCATTTAAAATAATAATAGTCAGAATGCTCTGTCAGGCCATGTACAACAGACTATTCAGCAAAGCCACAGCGGGTAATTGTCCTCAAGCAGTGGGCTCAGAGGGCTGGGCAGAAGCTGAGCACTGGAGGAGCTGCAGGCTGTCAGCTCTCATTTGGCAGAAGACCGTGGGCTGCAAAATCCCATTCTCAGAAGGGAGAGATGGACATCAGAACCCACAGAGGGCAGGATGAACAGCAGTGCTGTCTCACGGAAGTCCTGACCCTGGATCCCACCCCACTGACTTCATTCAACTCCAGCAGTGTTAAACACTCCAGAGACTTTTGCTTTTCTGTGCTCTTTTTGATGAGCACACATTGTAAGCTAAAAACATTTTATTTAACTGAATAAAAAGGAACTGGGATGTTCAAAAAATGTTCTAATCAAATATTTCACTATTTAGAGGGAAGACCTATTTCATGCTTAGCTATTTTTTATTCTTAGAAGTTTATTTTTATTCTTACAATTTTAACACACAGTTATGTTCCTAAGTTAGTTTTAACAAATGCTGTCACACTATTTCCCTTCTTATATCCATCAAAGGGAAACAGAGAAAAAAGAAAGACAGCATCAACAGGACAACACGAAAGAACAATATACCTTCTAAACACAAAATATTAAAAAATACACACTAAAAATACATCCCCCTCCAAACATTCATTTCATGGTAAGGTATGTCAAATATTAATGGGGAATTTCTGTAAACTCTATTCTGTAAACTACTGGATTTGACAGATTTGAGTAGGAGTGTAGGTTAAAAGAAAAGGGAACTGAAATGGATGGCCTGTGAAGGTTTTGATGTCGTTTGGCATTATTCAAGATAATCTGATAGTTGTGTGAGTCATGATGAGAGCTCACTGAACTGCTTAAATACAGACCAATCAAGTAGTCATTATGTGGATAATACTCCCGCAGTAGAGGAAATAGCCTGCTTCACTTCTATGAGACAGGAAAACACTGTCAGACATTAGGTCAGGCTGGAGGGGACTTCGAACAACCTGGTCTAGTGGAAGGTTCCCTGCCCATGTCAGGGGGTTAGAACCAGATCACCTTTCAGGTCCCTTCCAACCTAAACCTTTCTAGGACTCTATGACTGGGGCAGCACAGCAGGAGAGGAGAGGACTGTGCAAAGTATAGGATAGTTTGGAAACAATTAACTTGCATGCAAATCTAGCAACAATAGTGCAAAACACCAAATTATTTACGGCAGAATCAGAGTAAAAAAGAGGAATTTTTATTTCCCAGATGAAAATACTGCTCCAGTTAAAAATGGAGAACAAAACCCACTTCCCTAACAAGGAATATTTAGGGCTGCTATCATAAAAAGCAGTTCAAGGAGATATTTGAAAAAAAGGGAAATAAATGTGGCCCCTTTTAACTTTTACCTTGAGCATCAGACTGACGACAGAACATAATAAACAATTCCCTTGAACTGTGGCCCATGCTTATTCCTCTAAAAATATTCTGCCTTCATTTCAATGACTTTTTTTTTCTTAAACAAAGAAAACAGTTAATATGAAAGAGGACTCTGTCTGCAAAATGCCAAATGTGGCTGACACATCTAAAACATCTATATTGTAGTCACCTCTGCAAAAAATCAGTTATCTGGCCAAGGGCCAGTAAATATGCATTTCTTTTTAATCCTATTTGAGTAAAAAAAGACACTATTTGCTGAACAGAAGTGGTTCTCTAATGTGTTCTTTTCCTACGAGAAAAATGAAACATTAAAGAAATATTAATTTTCTTCAATTTAGGCTTGCTGGATTGCACCTCAACAAATTCAGCCCTTAACTATGACCATAAACCTCATGGCTGAAAAGAGCTTTTACAGATATTTGCTAATGGTCATTTTCTTCGCTCTCAGAAACAGTACTTGGTGAGAAGCTAGTAAATAAAAATCAGATAAGGCATAAAAGGGAGTATTCTGAGAAAGAAAGTATGTGCTTCTTCAAGAATAGGGATAAGGGAAATCACTAGGATGGTCAGGGTATAAGATAACTTCTTCAACTAAATCCCTCCACTGTAGGAGGTCTTGATAAGGGGAATTAAAATGCTCTTTCAATCATTGCCGTGATGACAACGTGCAAAGGGCTGAGACACAAACCTTCTCTGTCACCTGATCTTCCATGTGACAAAGACATTAAAGGTGTTACAGTATTTTTAAAAAGAAGATGGAAAAAATTAAACCTTGGTATCCTGAAGTTTCCTTGGAATACCTTTACACTAAAAGTATCAAGCCAACATCTTTGGTTGGCTTGATATATAATCCAGCAGAATCAATTTTTATTTGGATTTGCCTATGGCTCCAGGTTCCCTAAAATTAACCTCAATAGTGGCCTCCTATCCATTATTTATCATAACTTTTATGATTTGGAGTGAAGGAGGCTTCCCCTTTCTGTTCAACCTTTTAATCCTTTAGGTTTGTATTTTCTGCATGGCTGTTGCGGTTTTTGTTTGTTTGTTTTTGTAAAAGAAACAATAATTCTGAAAAATAAATGCAAGATACTTGTGCGTTTGTGTATTTCCTTGAGTAAACCAAAACAAAAGCAGAAATTAAACAAAATTCAAGAAGTTGACTTGCAGTCCCTTCCTCTGGAAATGATCTGTGGGCTCCGGGCTCCCTTTGCCCGAATCATTTCCCAAGAGGCACATTAAAAAGTTTCCCAGTAACGCAGGATTTCGGTGGCAGGTTAAAAGTTAAGATGAGCAAAGCGTATGGGCTCCACCCCAGGATGTTGCCAGATGATTGTGAGAGATGACCTTATGCAGCATTAATCATTCAAGAAGGAGGGTGCTGCAAAGCCTGCCCAGATGGCTGTCTGAGATGGAGAAGGAAAAGCAGGATGACGAGGACATGGCAATGGAGCGCTGACGCAGAGAAAACAAAACACTTTGCTTAAGCCATAGACTTGGAAGCAATTTCTGGGTCTCAGTGACAGCCTCTAAAGTCTGAAAAAACAAGGCAGGTTTTAGTGCTAAAGCTCCCTGAACCCAGCAGCTCATGTTACACAGCTCAGCACAACATCCTTCAGGAAGAAAAGAGACAAGCACAGGAGAGGGCAAGGAGGTGGTACAGAGCACACATCAGGCACCAGGGACAAGTTAAGGTACCTGCAGATTTTGTGACCCCATAGACCCCAATGCTTCATGGCCCAGGGACAGAACCAGGGCTTACAATCTATACATTTCAAGTGATGTCTATGGAAGCAGCCCAAAGACAGACAACAGCTTGTTCTTCCTCCAGTTTTCTTTCATGTATTAAGCAGTTAACAAAGGAGTTTTTTCTACAATAAAAAAACCCAACCCTAGTAGACAAAAGTTCAACTCTTGCTCCACAGAAAGGAGAAACAAGAACTGGACTAGTAATAACAATAATCACCGTGACACCAAAAGGTTTGAGATCCTCTTTTTGTTCATAAACATATTCTCTCTTCTCAATTTGATATGGAAATTGTACTATTTAATAGGTTTATAACTTATCAACTACACCAAAAACATGCATCTTACAATATTTTTCAGAGGAAAGATTACAGGCATCAGTTATTTTAGTGGTTATTAAAAATATGCATAATTTGCATTTCTACCAGCTGGGCTCAGTAGTCTAAAACCAAAGAATAATTAAGGAACAAGCTCACAATGCTAAACTAGTGTCTCTGGTCCTCCTAGAAATAGCTTTAACTGTAGAAAAGGTACTCGGATAAATCCTGAGAAAGGAGACAAGGAATCAAATTAGTCAGTCAAACGGAGACAAATAAAGCGACTGAGGTTGAGATTAGCTTTGAATAACTTCCTAAACTCAACTCAGGAACCTTTTGAAGCCATTTGCAGAAGAAGTCTGCACTCCACCACATAATGAGAGCAATGCAAAGGCTGCCAAATTAAGAAATTCTCTTTCTACAAAGAAAAAAATTTCCTGCCTTTGCCCTCTCTCCACTGGCCACTGAAGATCTGCTTTCCCCACCCCCTCTTCCTTTCCCTGCAGCATCCCTGCTACATTGCACGACCTGTTCTTTTTACGTTTCAATTTTCTTTCTTGCATTTGGAGAAGGTAACTTTCCAAATATAAAAGGGGAAAAAAGATAAATTTCTGTATAGTATAAAATTTGCTGTGTTCCCACAGCACTATTCTCCTACACATCCCCATATAAGCATTAAATCAAGCTCAAATGGCAGTTGGCTGTTGGAATTTTGGTCACTCTGCACAAGAAAACTGAAGACAAACAGCTCTGACCAACAGCCTTATATTCCCACAATCCATGGTCCCGGATCCCTTTGAGAGTAAGATGGGAAAGGGTGAGGCTGGTGAGCTCTGTGCCCTACCACATGCATTAAGGATGACTTTACTGTTCATTTATAGCACATGAGATCACTTAGCCTGGGCTGTGGTGTTTCCCGTCCTGCTGGAAAATATTTGCCATCATCTGATTTGATTTCAGCAAACAGAATTTTGTTTTATTAAATATATTTCTCTGAAAGCAAGTGTGAAAGCTACTCCAAAAGTTTAGTTTTTCAGAGCAGGAGCTGCATCTGCTCAAACAGGTGAGCTGGAGTTACACCAAAGTGTGTGATGGAGACCAACGTGATGGCTGCTCTAAAGAAAGTTCACATCCCTTTGATTCTGCATCACTATGCTCTTTCTGGGTGCTTTTTCATCATCTACTTACGGTAAGAAAAGTATAAATAACCAGCAAGACAATCCTTAAAGAGCAAAAACTTAATCACCTTCTGAATAAATTCTGGCTGCTCTGACACAGACGCAAAAGGCTGATGCCAAAAACCTCTGCTCAGGAGGCTGACTGTCTCTCAGGTCTCTCCCACTCCTCCTTCTCAGCCACGAGCAACACAAAGGGCACAGGAATGACTAAGGTTATTAATGACTTCTGCTGTTGATTTTAAGCAAACTTGAAAACATTTTCATTCTACTTGCACGCAAACAGGCATTAGAGGTATGTCGCCTAGGCAACAAAACTATTCCCTGGAATTGGCCTGAAGTATTTAGAGTGAGTGTTTCCTTCCTATCACACTGAATTTACAGAAAAACACTGGTTCCTCTGAGAATTACAGTATATAAATCTAGAGGTGTCAGCACAGAGGTCATCCTTTGCTGGAGAAAAGCTCTTTGTTACATGGGTTAAAGATGGATTTCATATTGTCTGTGCAATCCCTAATGACCTTGCAAGAAAATCCACCTTTTCAACTCTTCCTCTGGTGCCTGATTTACTTTTGGACAGACAAAATTACTTTCATTTTTTTTAACACTGGGGGCTACAGTTTTTGGAATTATGCTGCAAGTAAATATATCCCTCATGTTGCTGCATCTGAGGAGGAGACCGGATCCTTCCCATCTATTTCTTTCCAGGATAATCGTTTCCAGGTTTCTAATCCACCAGTGAAACCAAGATGATCTCCATTTGCAGTATGGGTTTATCAGATCAGGCCTCAGAGGTTTTTTAACCATATCCCAACCAGGCTTTCCTACCTTTCCAAAGACAAGGTCTTCCATCCCATCACCAGACAAGGGGAAGAGGTCCGACTCGCTCCCGGACTCTCTTTTAAGACCACCCTGTGACGAGGCACAGACACCACTCAGCCCATCCTCCAGGAAGTTCTCACATTCTGTGGGAGCAAAGCAGAAAGAGTTATGACCTGATCCGTTCTGTAGCATCCACACATCCAGCTTGCACACTCTCAGTAAACTCCAGGATTTAAACCAACAGCTTTATAACTTGTGCTCATCTCCCAAAACCATGCATGCAAGTTCTCAATGTATTCAAGAGTTTAAAACTCCTTTTTAATGCATCATTGAAGTACACAGTGCAAACTGAAATTCTGCATGAAATAGCCATAAACACTTGTAGCTTAAGATGTTGATAAATACGCTACATATCAGGTATCCCACACAGGGGATAAAGGAACGTTTCCCATTGCAGTTGTTTTGCAACAACTGCAAAATTAGGTTCGTATTCAATACATGTAGAAAGATAACTTGACCGTATTTACTTTTTTTCTTAATTAAAGAATCAATTCCCTCTAAATGCCAAGGTCTTCTAATGCATATTTGGTCGATTATTTCATTCCTTCTTCTACACTTCTCACTGAAAAAGCACTAGTGTGACTTCCATGACAAACTTCACTTTCTTAAGATTCAAAAATTAAGTGATTTTTTTAAAAACTCTCAGTTTTTGTAACTCCTGACATTGAAATGTAAGCACATTGCACCTCTTCTTTCTCAAACACTTTCAGCTGTTTGCATTGGGCTGATCAGCAGCACAGAACTAGACTGCAGCCCCTGTGAAAACTCTTCCTTTCCAAAACCCCTAACAGACAAGTATTTGCACAAAAAAAATGCCTGTATATAATTTCATCTGTTCAGTCTTCAGGCAAAAGTATTAATGACAATTTTGGCAAAACCTTAATGTTCTTTGGTCCCAGGTCAAAATATTTTCTAATTATTACTATTTTTTAATTAAAAAAAAGGTGTTACTTTGTAACCTGCTCTAACTAAACATATCCAAAATGTGTTCTCTTGTCTGAAGAGGAGCCAGGACAATAAAATATTGGTTCACTCTTAAATTACATCTGACTAACTCTGTCCTTGGTGATGTCAAGCTTAAACATCAATGCAAGGACGAGTCTGGGAAGCTTGAAGTCATCGCTTTTCCTTCCCCATCCTTAACCTGTGCCTGACAGCAGCTATCAAACACTCCAGCCACATCCAGGCTGATGGGAGTGACTCCTCTGCTGGAGAAAATAATATTACTTTGACAGTGGTGGGGCTGTCCCCATTTAGGGTAGGGGGAGTCAGAGCCAGTCAGAAACCCCATTACCCGTAGAGGAGTTTCCACACCACAGAGAATTGGAAAAACACTTATTGGATGCTGCAGCTGCTCCCGTTCCCCTTTCGGTAAACCTGGAAAATCTGAACTGCTTTTCCATCACCGAGGGGGAGAAGGGAGGGGGAAGAGAAGAAGAAAGTGGGAAGAAAAAAAAATGAAGGGAAAAGCAAAGACAAGACGGAGCTGCTGTAAGGGAACGGGCCAGGGTGCCGGTCATCCAGCTGGCAGCCAGCAGAGCATGTCCACAGCCCAGACTGAAAAACAAAGGGGCTCGAGCCACATTCCAGTGGAAAATCAGCAGGGACAGTCCAGATGTGCCGAGGGATGGATATCTCACCCTGATGATAAATCATAAGCGGCAGCAAAGCCTCCTCTGCTGGAGCCTCCCAGGGACAGAGGACATGAAGTGTTGGGGAAAGATGATGAGGAGCAGAGAGATGGGGACACCCCCACACCTCAGCTCATGTGTGATGAGAAACTGATTCCCAAACCCTCTCTTCCCTCCATCCTCCTTTATTTTCTTTTGGGGATGTGTGTACCTTCTCTCCCTTTTTCACTGTTAGCTGGGTTTGTTTTGAGCTGCACAGACTCTGCACAATGCTGAGCTCCATCTCCACACCTGCCGTGGCAGCCTGGTGACAGTGCTGGTGTGACACAGGGACTGTGACACTGACTCCTGGCACGCACACAAGACACACACACTCCCTGTGCACTGCACATGCTGGAGTTATAGCACAGCTGTGCTGCTCTGTTCCTCTCAGGTGGAAACACAGTGATGATTGGAATGCATTTCTGCACATCGTATAGAGGCAAAAAAAAAAAATCACACAGAAAAAAGAAAGAAGAAAATTTCCATCCAAATCTGTTATGTATATTCTCCAAACCTTTGTGTCCTCCAAGCCAGGGCTGAGCCCTCCAATTCCATGTTGATAACTATATATCTGCTACACTCCTCTATGCACTTCATTTCAAAAGCACTGACAGCAAATGAGAGGCTCCATTTTCTGGAGTTACCTTCTAAGATCTGAGGACTCTGTCCTTACAAGCCATTTCAGCAGGATTATTCAGCACACGAAAAAGGTCTAATTCCTTATCAAGTAGTGTATTTTTAAGTTAATCACATTATAACAGCTAGTGGTTTTACTGCTGTTAGGTATTGCCACATTCTTCTTGCCCTCTCTACACTGCCCAGCACCACAGAGCAGCTGGAGGATGCGTGTGCAGTAATGGCATTATTTCTAGAAAGGCCAGAACCTGCACATTAATCTACATAAACACCTGCCTCTTTGTGCTTGTGCTACAGACACTTATTACTACAATTATTAATATAAATTTGTATATACAGATATCTAATTACATAACTGTTATAATATTTCTATAGTGTGATATTGCATCAGACAAGTAATAGGTGTGCAACTGATACTGATCCATAAGAATGCATGATTACAGATTTGGCAATTCAAATGAGTGCATGTAGTTTTGCAGATTAATGGAGTGCAGTAACACTTTCCTGAAGCATAAAAACCTAGTGCCAAAAGGGATTTGAGGATACAATTAATAAAGAAGCAGTATGGCAATATCACAGGTTCTCCTGTAAAAATACTCCTGAAACAGCTATTCACTATTCTTCTAAACAGAGCAATTTTTTTTTAAATAAAAAGCACTCATTTAACTTTGATGGGAGCTAGAACTTCTACTCAGAATAAAACCCTTGAATTAGTAACCGACATTAGGCCTTCTTAGCCTACACTCTCAAAAGATTTGGTTTGAATTTAAAATTGAAACTCAGTCTTTTTTTTTTTCAAGTCTCTCAGATAAATTGAAGGAGATTTGGGTTACACCACTGCTCATAAGGACAGCAAGGCAAGAAGCCTCCTCTCTACGAACAGTTCAAGTAAAGCCCCTATTCAAGGCCCTAATAAATTACTCTATTTGTTTTGAACATGCATAATCCAATGAAAGAAAACACTTCTTTTCTTATCTTGGACACCAACCCCTCTTATAAGCTTGCCCAGACAAGATTTTCTGTCCCAGTGGAGGAGCCAGAAAGCCCCAGCCAGCACACAGGGCTGGGAGCTCGGCATGGCCGTTGGGCAGGGTGTGGGAATGATGGCTCTGAACAGCCTTCCTGCTTCCTGAAGCCTGGAATCATGGCAACTTTCAGAGAGGGGAAAAAAAAAATAAAAATATCAAGCCACTGATCTAGGTTTAAATACGGATTCAGGAGTTCGAATTTCTGACTTTTTTTTTCTTTTACTGTATTAGGGTTAGCTAAAAGTCGGTCCTTTTAGTTAAAATCCATGTCTATAAAAAAACATGTGTGCCCCACTGTACTTTTGAAGTTTATTCAAAAAAGAGAAAAAAAATCAAAATACTGAAGTACTCTGAATGCACAATTATCTGAGGAGGTGACACATCACACAGCTCCCTGCAAGTCAAGTGCTACAGCCATGTGCTAACAATGACTCACAGCACATTCATCACACGGTGTCTTCAGTGTATGTGTTTTCCCCGTCAAGGCAAGGGATGTCAAAAATAAGAAGAACAAGAAGGATAGAGAAGGTGAGGGGAATGGCTGCTGGTCTGGAGCTGCCATCAGCACGCTGCTCACCTGGAGACTCCCGTGTCCGCTTGCGCTCCAGCAGGGAGGGATCGGGACATGGCTCCAGCGAACACCAGCTTTCGCGGTTTATCTGGAAAACAGACCAGAGCACATCAAACAAAGGCCACTCTCGCCAACACCCGTCAGTCTCTTCTGCAATGTCCCTCTGCATCGACCAGCAGATATAGAGTTATGGCTTAATTTTTTCCCAATAATGAAAATGTCAAAAGTAACATAAGATTTTTTTAATTTTTTTTTTAGCATCACAAAACAAACCATTAAAATATGCCAAAAAACTTTATTTCTCTGTGGAAAGTTTGATTTCAAGGTGGCTCCTACCCAAGGAAGGAGTTCAGAGGGAGGATGAGCCAGAGTTTAAGCTACCAGTTGAAGACTAAACACCTTGGCTTCAACTCCCACTTCCATCTGTAGTGGGACTGCAGGCAAAATACTCCTCTGCTTTATGCCTCAGTTCACTACCAACAGAACAGCAATTCCTTACCACCCACATTGCTGTACAGACAATCACCTCAGAGATAGCAAGGTGCTCTGATGCTGTGGAAATGATGGCTTGGGAAGTGCCCAGGTCATGGCGAGAACAAGAAGCACTTTGGGTTTGCATTAACTGAAATGATGATGATGATAGAAACGTCCATTTTAACACTAAGACACATCACATGGTTTATTTTAACAGCAGCCCTTATCATCTTACCCTGTCCCTCACCCTTTCCATGACTCCCAGTCTTTCAGCAAGGATGACTGATCTGTTCTCAGCCTTCTCCTCCCTCTGCCTGTGCTTTCATCTTCCTCACTCAGGTTGTGCTGTCCAACATTTTGACTCTGAAGTCTGCTGAACTATCCACAACCCTTGGTCATCCAACACTTGCTTCACATCACTTTTGTCTCCAGCCGGCAAACTCTGGAAGCCCCTTTACTCTCTCTGTTGTTTCTTCGAGGCAAATGCCTTTATTTGTCAAATGCATGCAAATCTCACCTGTCCCACACAATGAAATCCAAAGATTATTTCCCCTCCTGACCTGCGTCAAACACACAGGATCTCAACTTTTAACTAAGTTGTAGTTAAAAGGAAACTACTGAAATGGATGACTTTGCCTGATATATCAACTATTTCTTCTACCCTCTCTCTGTTTTTCATTTTCTCTCCTGAAATAATTTCCTTTTCTCTATGTCAAATAGTGATTTTTTACTATTTAGTTTTAGCCTCTGACCCATGTTCAAACCTCCTCTGTGATCCCGCTCTATTTTTGCGGTCCCTTGCTGGATTCTCATCCTCTCACTGGTCGCCCTTCTCCTATGTTATGAAATGCACTGGTTTTGCCTTTTTATTCTCTTTTTTTTTCTTCAATAAAGAAAAACCAAGACTCTCCTACTCTTGACCTGACAGGATGCTTTGACTAATGACCCACGTCCTTGTTTCCTTTCTCACTGAGATCATGGAACTTGTTACTGCAGTTGTTGGCTGGTGCTCCTCACTGCTCTGGCTGCATCTCCTGCCTGTCACCCGAGGGGCTCCTGCCAGCACCTCTGCTCACCTCCTGCTCTCCACTCCCCCTGACCTGTCAGCTACTTTCTACGGCACATTTTTCTTCCTCAGGTTTTGTCCTCCTCCATACTTCTGGGATGACAAAACAGGCTTGGAAGGGCCTCTGACAGATCAGCTAGTCTCTTTCTGCTGCTCCAAGTCAGGCTCAATTATCATCTGAGAGGTTTTAATCCAACGTGCCCTTAAAATCCTCCAGTGGTGAGGATGCCATGACCTTCTCCAGTCAGCAGCTCTTGCTGACAGAGACAGGGAGGGAGCAAAGAAGATCTGAGAGAGGAAAAACGAGCAGGAGTCTCTGAGAAGAGGTGAAGGAGACACTGTGCTCTGCTGGAGTCAAGTCTCCGGGGCACCTCAGTGCACATCCCACATGGACATTCTTCCCCACTTCCATCCAATTTTACAGGCTGTTTTGCTTAGATACAATGCACACTTCCTAGCAGTTACTCACTGACTCTGCTTATACATATTATTATATACACATTCATCCAAGATCCCATTACCCCTCGCTATGCACACACATCTAAGATCCCAGCCTTCCCTGCACCTCTTCTCAACACACACACCTGCATATCCATCTTCTCCCTTTTACATACAGCACATCTATATTAAATGAGAGGTGGAGAGAGAAAGAGAAGCAATCTGAAGTCTGAGAAGGGTTTTTGTAACCAAAAACTCAAACCAATGATTTTTTTGTTTTCCAAAGGGACACAAAGATGTTGAATTTTAACTGTTACATGGACAGTGGGTCACCATTTGGATTCTTTCAACAGAAGACACTCCCTGCTCTCAGTGAGGCTGTGTGGTATTGAACCTGAGCAACTGAACTTAACTGCAGAATTTATCCTTTTTTAGTCTTAAAAGAGCTGCAAAGTCAATGAATACCACTTTATGGTTGTAAAATCAATAAATATCATGTTATTATCCTTTTCTCTCCAGACAAAGTAGAATCTATTTGCACCATGGTTTCTTACATTTTATTAAAGGCAAATCTAGAGGTTGAGCCTGAACACATGGAGAAGGACAAATGCAAATGTGCTCAAGTCCACACAAATGAAGGAACGACCCAATTCAGATACAAAATCAAATTCTGCCTCCTTCTGATTTGCTTGCAACTAACTCCTTCCTCATCATATTGAGTCTGACCCTTCATACTTTTAAACAAATCTCCATTACATTTAAAGGAACTACTCCTGATTTTTACTGATATCCACTAAGGGAAACCAATTATTAAACATCCTGATCAATAATTAGCAAGAAAGTAAATTATAAGGAGGTTCAAGCTGTCTGTTAAATAAACTATATTAGGGTGAATTAACATTATATTTTGCCCTTAATAGAACCAATTGAGTCATTCACTGAAAATGCATTATAGACATTGGCACTTTTTCAAAAAAGATTTGAGTATTTTTCCCATTTCCCAGCCAGCTCTCTCCTCAGCCCTGTGGCTTTGCCAAGTATTGAAAATGTCTGCTTTTTTCTGTTAAAAAAAAGTAATGAGAGAGTAACACTGAGGCTTAAGGTGCTGCTTCAGATATGCCTTATTATGTACAAAATGAAACATTAAAACTAAATATTTATCTCAGTAGCCCTAATTCAGGAAAAACAATAATCACCACCATCAAAACACAAAGGAAACCACTACTATATACAAGTATTCCCTATGCCAAAATGAGCCCAGACAGGACTTGAGGGAGGTTTACTGAGTGCTCTCAGGAAACTGGGTGGTCTGTAGATACTCAAAACACAAACCCCACTATCCACAGCTCAACACTGATCACTGGGATCCCTCCTCAACACCTGATTTCTGTTTGTGTTTACTCAGGACTAGTGACTACAAGTACAAATAGTAAGGGTTGGAGAGAAAATTACCTTTATAAAAGCACCTCAACATCAGGAGCTGGGTAATGCACTAGTCTGAAGAAATTTGAAATGAGGTTGTCTTGGGATTTTGTGGACATGTGAGCGTTAAATGTGATAAAACTATTCCTCTCTTCTTCCCTCAGTCTCTGTTTAGCTGAGAGAAGCCCAACAACAGGACCACAGGCTGGTGGCCACAGAAGATGATAAAAGCCCCACACACTCTCTGATTATAGCCCACTGATTCCAAGCAGCCCAAATCTTTGTGGTGGGAGTGGAGGATGCTGTGGTGTTCTGATGGCAGAGGGAATATGAAACAGCCTCTGGGAACAGAGTTTCAATACAGCTTTTGAAGAAATGCCAGGAGAGAACCAGCTATTTTCCACACAGAAGCCTGAATGTGTTTATCTGCAGCTCAGACACAGAATGAATCATGGAAGCACATCCCCAGGCACAAAAGACTGAATCCCAAAGGATTTTGTGTTTGCCTGTGAAACACTAGCAGACTAAATGTTCAAAGAGGGCTTTAGGACACCAGCTGGAGCTGCGAGCAGTCAGTTCGATTGCTCTTTCTGGGCACACACACGTATTTCCTGACTCTGAGACCTCTTCCTGCAGACATTGAATTTGAAACTTAATGTGACTTAATGGAGAAACCTCTTTGCATAAGAAAAGGCCAGTGCTGGACAACCTGTGAGACAAACGGGGCTGGGGTGTCCTCCGTCTCGCAGGAAAAATGAGCGACCCCAGACTCTGTTCCCAGACTCTTCTTTCCTCTCCCCCTGCATGAGGGTGTCTTGGCCAAGGAGCTATCAAATCTCCTGCACTGCTTGAAGTCCTGTGTGGTGCCTGCCTGTGAAAACCAGGGTTGGGACCTCCTTCTCAAAGACATTTCAAAAATATCTGCTTCTAGCAGAGCAGTGTGCTGGAGGGTCCCTAGGAACGGGCACCTTGGGGGCCAGTGGCTACCTGGCTCCCATGTACCTCTCCTACCTTTCCAGCACAGAAAAATCCTTTTCTCTCCCTCTGGCTTTATTTTAACTCTTCTTGCCTTCCATCTCACAACAAAGAGAACACAGGGACCTCTCAGGAAATCTTCCGCTATTTTAGAAGTTTGCACTTGCCAACCTCACTGGTAGTGATATAAATCAACACCTCCAGAGCAGAAGGAACCATATGAATTTAACTTCCATTTCCTAGCAGATCTCTAGAGATTCCTCTTCCCTCCATATTGTTTTAACTTTGTCCTAAATTTACAAGTTTCCATTTCTCTCCTTTTCTTTCTCCAGCTTCCTGACTAAGATCTACGTTGCAGTTAAAACCAGATACTACTGCTGATAGGAAAATACTTAGGAGACTAATTCTAGCTTGCTTAGTGTTTCATTAGGTACCTGTACACTTACTGAGCAACAACTGACATACCAGGGAAGATTTGAAATATCCACTGTAAAACAAAAATAGTAGAAAAAAGCACAAAATTTTAAATACAATTATAACTAATTTCTTTAATAATGAGAAATGATACAATGCTTTTTTTTTTTTTGGGGGGGGGAATATATGTAGACTCTAATTTTTTTCTAGGAACTCCCCGTTCCTGAAAATTTCCTGTAGGATAGTTTCATTGAGGAAATTTGTACACATAACTGGAATTCAATGTTTATACTGAACAA